CGCTGATTTTGCCAAGCCCGTTCCCTTGGCTGTGGTTTCGCTAGATAGTAGATAGGGACAGAATGTGAGAAGGGCCTTGGGGGGGGCCCACCTGCACCACTAATGTATCGCAGGTATGGAAGGGGATGGGGTAGAGATAGGATGAGGATAAGGGGAAGAGTGGAAGAGTTAGATGGGTGGGAAAGGAGGAAAGAATGAAAGTGTGGTAGGGTAGAGAGAAGAGAAGGGAAGGGAAGGGAGGGAAGGAATGTTTGATATTTTGATAGATATAGAGTTAGGAAGTGAGAAAGTGAGTGAAGGTGAGTGAGAGAGATGAGAAGACTACCACCAGGAAACCACGAGTCAGAGGAACGGGCCAGCCAGTCAACGGGCATTTATTGATTATTTTCAAGAAAAATTGATAAGCTATGATAATTTAGTTGGCTTAGAGTCAAGGATTTAATTTAAATTTAATTTAACTGTAATGATGTCTGTTGTCTTCACACTTCTCCTTGTCTTGAGGAGGTTGTTTCTTCGTCCTTGTCCAGTGATCTTCTAGGCCTCGAGGCCTCCGAGTCCGCTGGTGCGTTGATTCTTGAAGTCTTCTTCTTTTTTTTTTTTTTTTTTTTTTTTTTTTTTTTTTTTTTTTTTTTTTTTCATTATTTCTTTGGTGGCATGAGATAAACCGTGTCTTAGTTGCCGTTTCTTTAGATTGTATTGTCTTAATAAATGGTTGATTTATTTAAAGGGAATGTTATCTTGGAGTTTTGTGATTGTTTTGAACCTCTTGATTTTCCAATACTGTGTTAAAGCTGTTAGTTCTCGCTTCTGTGTTGTGTCTGTATATGTGTAGTTTTCAGTGCCCATGGGAAATGAAAGCCGAGGTATCCTCTCCAATATCGGTCTTTTGAGCCATTTCCCATGACAAGCACTAGTTGTTGTCTTTTGTAGTTTTACAAGTTCTTTCGTCTGTCTTCAATTTTCAGCACTGTAGGATGGCCTCGTTAATCTTTTCCACCATTGTTTCAAGTATTTTCATTGTTTCTTTTTGTTTGATTATTTCTGGCTTTCTATTTTGCAGGTTTTGTCCTAAAATTCTTTTTAGTTCCTTTCTTTCGTTTGTTACAATGGGACATTGCTGTAAGTAGTGGTCAAAACTTTCTATTATGTTTGAACAATAACATGTCGCTTGTTGCAGTATTCCGAATCGTGTAAAGTAGAATGGAAATCTTCCATGTCCTGTTATTGCCTGTGATGTGTAGTAATTAGTTGGAAAATGTGGCGGAATGAAATTTGTATTTCTTATCCATGTAAATGTGTAGCTATGCTTGCCTTCTTTCTTCCATAATTCATTCCACTCGTCGTTTAACTTTTTCTTTAATTCTTTTGCTATAACTGTTTTCGTTATGGGAACAAATATTTCCTCTCCGTCTTTGCTCGCTTCTTTTGCGCATTCGTCGGCTAATGTGTTCCCTATATTCCCACTGTGTGCTTTTACGTAGGTCAGTTTAATATCTTTACTTTGTGTTTGGCTTAAGGTTTTCCTGATGTTACAAATAATTGGATTTAGGTTATCTGGATTTTTTATTGCCAGAAGTGCAGATTGGCTGTCTGTAAAAAGCTGGTATTTAACGAAAGCTTGTAGAGGCCAGATATGTTCTATTGCTTTCTGGATTGCAATGATCTCAGCCTCGTAATTACTGCTGTGTTCTGGAAGTTTATATTTTTTCACTGTTTGGATTTGGTTATCTTTGTTTAGTATTATAAATGCCGCTCCTGTTTCTTTTTCTTTCTTTGATCCGTCTGTGTATATTTTGAAGTCTGCTTCTTCCTCTGTTGTTCCAAAGGGTATGCTAACTTTATTTGCTGGATGATCTTGCCATTGGTCGTGTTTCTTCATTATTTCGTTTTCGGTGTATACTTTCTGTTGCCATGTGAAGTTCTTTCCTTTCTTAAGTATGTAGTGTAATTCGTTTTCTTTTTCGATTGTCAAATGGAGAGGTGGAATGTTTGCTAATATGTTGAGTGAAAGATTTGATGTTGTTTTGAATGATTTAGTTATTAATAATAAAGGTAATCTTTGGATTGATTTCAGTTTTTTAATAAAAATGGTTTTTCGGCTATACCATGCTGGGGAGGCGTATGTAACCATTCGTTCTATACCCCTTTTATATATTAACTGTAGTGTGTTTCTATTTGTATGTTTGTCGTCTTTTATTGTACGACTTAAATTATACGTGACTTCGTCTACTTTTCTTTTTAAGTATTTTAGATGTGGGAGGAATGTTAGTTTTGTGTCCAAGACCACCCCTAGAATTTTCATTTCGTTAACCATTTTGATTTTATCCTGTCCGATTTTTATTTGGGGTTGATGGCTAATGTACTGCTTTCCGATTATCATATATTCCGATTTTTCCTTATTCAGGGTTATTCCTTTTTGATGTGCCCACTGATTTATTAGTGTTAGTGCCTTCGTAGCTTTTTCCTCCACCTCTTTTCTTGAGCGGAACTTTATGTGTAACACCACGTCGTCCGCAAAGGCTTGGATGTGTACTCCTTCTTGAAGCTGAGTTTCTAATAGGTCGCCTATTGTTATATTCCAACAGAGTGGGCTTAAAGGTGACCCCTGTGGGGAACCTGAAGTTAGTGTTTTCTTAATTTTTACTCCATCTGTTTCATAGATTATTTTCCTGTTCCGTAGAATATTGTCCGCCAGTTTTATTAGGTTGTTGGGACACTTATATTCTTCTAATTTCTGAATAACTACTTCGGGTTTTATAGAATTGAATGCGTTTTTAATATCTAGTGCTATTAGCATGCTGTTTAGCTTATCAATTTTCGCTTGGTTTATTCGTTTGATTATTTCTTCCAATGCCGTGGTTGTTGATGTCCCATGGGTAAATCCAAATTGTTTTTTGTTAAAATGGTGATTTTTAAACAAGAAATAATAGATTCTATCTTTTATGAGCTTTTCTAATATTTTTCCCAAAATCGAGTTAATAGCTATTGGGCGATATTTGTTTTCCTCGGATTTGTCCTCTCCGTTCCCTTTTGGAATCAATATAATTTTAGATTCTTTCCATCTTTGAGGAAAATGTCCGTGCTTTAAGCATGCATTAAAAAGATTGACAAAGAAAGTCTTATGCCTTTCATACATCACTTGTATGAGGTTAGTTTTTAGGTTGTCTGGTCCGGGGGTTACATCTTTCCTCAGATTTTTTACTATCTGCGTTACTTCAATCTCTGTAAATGGGAGGTCATCACTGGGTAAATTTCTTTCTCTCATTTCTGCTCCCGATGTCCAATTTCCTCCCTGTTTGTTATTGTTTATTGTGTCGTTGCTTGATTGTATTTGACTGTGTCCTGGCTCGTCATTTTCCATGCAGTTAGGGTATAAATTTCCTAGAATGTGTTCTATTGTTTCCTGAAGAGTCTTTGTGACTTCTCCATTTTCTTTTGTGATGCTTCTAAACATAACCTTGGTTTTCATCTTATTTCGTGCAATTTTATACGGTAGGATGAATGGATTTTTCGTAGCCTTAGTACATAGAGTTTTCCAACTGTTGTTTTTAGCCTGTTCTATCATGTTGTTATACGTGTCATGTTCTTTATAGTATTCCTTTTTGTATTGTTCTCTGATATCCCCTTTCGCCTTTTGATACCTCCTTCGTAGTGCTCTGACTCTCTTCCTTTCAATTTCTAGGTCTCTTGACCACCAAGTATTCGGTTTTTGTTTAGAAGGTTTTTTCTTTTTACTGAATTCCTTCTTAAGTTTCTCGATTTTCTCGTGTAGCGTATTCACTATTTCTTCAATACTTTCCTTCGTGTTTATTTTCCCCTGGACTTCCTCAAACCAGGGATCAATTTGCAACTTTTCCATGACTTTTGTTTGCCCTTTTAACGTTAGGCCATATTCCTCTGGAAGTTCTTCATTTTTAATAACAACTTTAATGTATCTGTGATCGCTGTGATTATAGGTTTTAAGTACTTCCCAGCTTTTAATATCCTGGTTTAGGTTTGCGTCACATATGGTGAGGTCAATCCAACCCCTCGCCCTACTTGTTTTAAATGTCGGAGGTGATTCTTTGGCATTTAATAATGTCAGGTTGTGTAATACTGTGAATTCTAATACTTTTTCACCTTTCTCATCCGTCTCCGTGCTTCCCCAAATTTGATGTTTTGAGTTGAAGTCACCCATTATTATCGTGTTAATGTCTATAAATTTCTGTAAAATGTTTCCTATTGCTGACATTGCCAGCTCGACGTTTTCATTCGGAGGACAGTAGCAGTTGATAATTACCAATTCTCTTTCACCTTTATTTATCTTGACTGCTATTAGTTTTTGTTCTATAATAATTGGGAAAGCGGTTATATTTTCTTTGTGTATTATGATGGCTGTCTTCGGGTCTTTGTTGTTGGCTATAACTTTATGCTTTAGCGGAAACCCTATGATTTTGTTGTTGAGCGAATATGGTTCTTGGAGTACAGATATGTCGAATTCTTCTTCTTGTTGAAAATTGTTTAGTGACTGATTTGCCTTAAATGCCCTGCCTAAATTTACCTGTATTATTTGTATTTCAGTGCTATTCGCCATTGTGCCTGTGTGTTGGGTACTCTTAGTTTAGTCTAGCTAGAATTTTGCCTTTCTCGGCCTGTACCTTTGTTATGTATACCGGGCATTCCCTGGACATCATAGAATGATCTGTCTCCGTGCGACCCTCAGTCTCGCAGATGTTGCAGTGCGATTCTGCTTCACATTCTCTTTGGTAGTGACCTCGTTGGCCACAGTTAATGCAGCGCTGGGGGCCATCGCAATCGGGAGCAATGTGGCCGTGCATGGCGCATCTTGTGCATCTGGGCCAAAAGATGTCGTCAAAGATCGGGCATCGTGACCAGCCGATGTTCAGTGCAGTTCGGCTTCCGATTGCTTTGTTTGCACTTCGATTTAGGGCAAGAATCACTGTCTTGCCTCTCTTGCCCGGCCATGTCTTCTTTATTGTTATGTCTTCTGGCGAGCACACCAAACGGTTTTGCCTGACTGATTCGGGCTGGGAGATTGACCTCGTCAATTTCATCCTCGAGTCCAATTATTTTCTTATGGATCCTGTTCTCCTTTGGGAGCTTGGCTTCAACATTTCTCAGTTCTCTGTCCTTCTGAATGAACTGGAGAATCTTAGCTGAGTCTTCTTTTGACTTCGTCATCACGACAATTCCCTCTCTCCCTGGCCGAATTGTTGCTTCTTGGATTCCCAGGTCGAGGGGATCCACCCGCTGCCTCAGAAGCGATGCGACCTCTTTTTTCTCCATTGTTCCGGAAGATACCACCAGAGCATAGGTTGGTCGGCTCTCGGTTGCGGGAGTGTTGCTCTGTGTTGGCTCTTCCCTTTGTTCGAGTGGTTCTTCTTGTCTTCTTTTCTCCAATTCTTCGATCCTGCCTTTTTGGAACGCAATCTGTTGGGCCTGTTCCATTAACAGGTTTTTCAATTTAGCTTGTTCGGAGATTATCGCTTCAATCTGCTGGGCTACCGCCTCGTCGCCGCCCGTCAATGTAGAGATTTTAATGAGAGCCCTCATAGTGTTCTTGTCTGCTTTGGAAAGTCTAGACAAAACTGTACCCTTTTCTCCGCGGCTGGTTGGGAGTGACGATTGTGAATTTCTGTCTTCGTCCCAGTTGTCTAGCGCTCCTTCGTTAGCAGCCGTTTGTGTTTGAGGGTGGACCTCTCCTCCTTCAGCTTCTTCGGTTTCGGTTCCTCGGCTGCCTCCCTCTACCTGGTCATTCTCGGTTGGGCTCCACCAATCTGTTTCAAGAGAAGCTTTGGCGGGCATCGCTCCTTGTGGTTCTTCTTTCTTTGCCTTCTCTTCTTTGTTGGTCACTTGTTTTTGTTCCACCCTCTTGGTCTTCTTCTTCTGTATCTTGTCTGTCTTCGCCCCTTGCGTGGGGTCTGTAATTGCAGAGTCGTCATTGCTTCCTGTGTTTTTTAGGACCTTTGACGTAGGCCCCACTGCTGGGTTTGCCGTTTGTAGAGGTCCTCTTCCCTCCAGTCCTTGTTTCTGGGTTTCCGTTCTCATCCCCTTGGGTTTCAACATCTTCTCCTAATCTCCACGCTGTGTTCCAAGAGAAGGGTTTGTGCCTTCGAAGCCGTTGTTTGCCGTCTGGAAGAAAGTTACTCCTTTTTAACTTGTTCTGGTATCGCCAGAGATGTTCCTCAACCTTGGTAGTAGAGGTTGCCGGTTTTAGGTGTTCTTGGCAGCGTAGAGGCGCCGCACTTTTCCTGTCTCTGTTGGCGTTTTCCGCTAAACAGATAGATACCAGTTTTGTCTCTCTACGGGGATTCGTTCCGGAGTTATTCTACCTTTGGCGTGAAGTGTTCAATCAAAGATGGCCGCCTCTCATTTTGACGGGAATCCGAACTCAGAACAGTCGGAAAATGTCAATTTCCTGTCGTTTCGCCCCAGAACTACTAGCAAAAGCGTGTATCCAGTCTTCAAGCACTTCCAGAACTGCCGGCTCCAGAAAAGAACCGAAACCAGCCTCGGATTTGCTGTTTTTGTCTAACTGTAGAAAATGGTCAGGAAAGTTGAAATTCCTTGTTCTTTTGTGGCCCTCTTGAACTGAGAAGAATAATTCTGCTGTTCTGTGGCACCAGGACTTGGTTCCGAGCGTTTTCAGCAAGAATTTCCTAGTTCCGCCAAATTTGGTTTAATCCAGTTGCTCAACCTGGCCACAATGTGCAGGTTTTCAACCCTGGTAATAGGGGGGTTCCGGATTTTGGTGTTAGAGTTAACGTAGGAACACCGCGTTTTTTCCTATCACTATTAGCACTTTTTTCTGATCAAAATGATACCAGTTTTGTCTTCCTGCGACCTTTCGTTCCAAAGTTATTCCACTTTTGGCGAAAATGTGACCTCAATCCAATATGGCCGCGCCCATGTTTTGGCGGGAAACTGGACTCACTTCGGTCGGAAAACCGGCGATTTTCAGACGTTTCGCCCTAGATCCCCGCGCAAAACTGGCTGTCCTATCTTCGGATACTCCCCAGGACTCTCCCGGCACCGGAATTCAGCCGAAATCAGCCGCGGATTTGCTGTTATCGTCGAGTTTTGGGTGTTCCTTGTGTAATGGCCGCCAAGAGGCTGTTTACATCGATGAAAACTCGGATTTTTGGCGTTCCTTGGCCGATTTTCGTGCGGTTTTCGGCACCCGGGTGGTCTCGGTCACTTTATAGTAGAGGAGTGTGCAAAGGTTTTAGCGTACTCACTCTTTTTGTTGTCGAAAACCTTGAAAAACTCGCTCCTGTGAGAATGGCTGGCCGGATCCACTCGGGCCCCCTGGCGGCAGTAGTGCAAGAGAACAATTGCCTACACAGCGATCAGTGATTACACTGGGTCACTGAACCAACTGCTTGATAATTAATTACTCTGCTATTCAAGTGCGTTACGCCGAGATATTTCCAACCAAAATTTCGGTATTGCCAGACGGTGGTAGGTGGTGCTGCCATCTATTTCGCGACTGCTAGCGAGGTGCCTGCTCGGTTGCCACCCTGAGCGTGACAAATCTCCCTGCCGCCTACCCATAAATAAATAAATAAATAAATAAATAAATAAATAAATAAATAAATAAATATATATATATATATATATATATATATATATATATATATATATATATATATATAGTTCAGAGTGCCCTGGTATGGCCCACCTCGTCATGATGTCGTAGTTTTGGCATGTTGGCATGCAACGGACGAGAACTTATATCTCACATCTCTTGGAAGTGAGCCTGAAAGCCAGATATTTTGAAATCTTTTTTAAACAACACATTGTAGGAAGTTCGGAGCAGTGGGAGGCACAACTTGCCAACTGGGACCTAGAGATGCAGCTAGCGCTTTTGAGTCCCGTTAGGCGAGTGGCGCAAGCCAGTGGGGCCTTTTACTTGGGGCCCCAACCAATATGCGCCTTACTACCTCTTTCCTACCCCTTCTCTCAAAATAAAGTAGTCTTGTTCTTTTTCTTATTTCCAAATGTAAGCTCTAAACCTCTCACCAAGGCCGACTGCACTGACGCTGATGTTGAAGCCTTTGGCTGAGCCCACCGAGTCCGAATGGAAGACGAGCATGAACGCGGTGCTTGTGAGCGTGCTGGGGCTGCGCTGTCCACAGTACTGGTCCACGCTTGGCGCCAGTCCGCTGTTGCCACTCTTCACATCCAACCAGTCGAGGCTGCAGTTGTCCTCTAGGGAGAAGCTGCTGAAGTTCAGCTGCGCATCATTGACATCATGTAGTTGAAGTTGCAAATAATTAACTATTTTTATTGATAAATATTCTTTGTTATTGATAAATATTCTTTGATAAATATTCTTTGATAAATACGGTTGTAGCCCCCAGGATACATTTTTTTCATGTATGTCGCTCCTTAAGAAAAAAAAAACAGGATATAGAGTACTACATAAACTCTAACACAGAATCGCTGTAACGGGTATAAAAAAATAAGGCAGATCCCACGTACAGTGGGAATCGATAGACAACAATAATCATTAAAACAAAGAAAAAAGTGGTTCATCACAGATGGGGCTCTTCTTCTAAGGCTTCACTGGCTATAGCAGCTCGGAAGGCCTGACCCAGCGTCGCCAGTTGGCTTCCCAGGGTTCGTTCAGCGAGTCGCGCCTCCCATGACCATGTATGTATTTGACGCGTGGGAATCAATGATATGCGAAGAACGAATGGGGAAGGCTGATATGTCACTTTAACACCAGCACAATGTTACGAGGCGAGGTAAATTATGCCGTACATAACTTCCATGTCGTGATTTTCATATTTGGACTTGTCATTTGTATTCGTCGTCCAATCCCGTCACGTAATGCCGAATTTGGTATATGTGGAACTAGTGAAAGGGCCGTGAGCTCGTCATGAGCGTGGCATGTATCCATGTTGTTACATGAAACGCATCTTATGAATATCATGTTTGCATTAGTCACACACTTTCGTCGTCCATTCACGTCTCGTGATGCCGAATTTGAGTATGTGAAGCTAGCGAAACGACAGCGAGTGCATCATGAAGAGTCCAATGTATACTTTTAAATAACATTGACGCGCGCGCATGCTGGGCGCATCGACACGACGCTAGCGAAAATTGCGGTACCTTTAAGCTTCGCCTTCAAGAGTTGAACGCGATAGCGAAATCCGGCCCCTAGTGCGCCCTTCAACCGCTAAGTGCATACTTAATAATATGTTTTGTTACACACACACGCCCCGCCGCGGTGGTCTAGTAACTAAGGTACTCGGCTGCTGGCCCGCAGGTCGCGGGATCGAATCCCGGCTGCGGTGGCTGCATTTCCGATGGAGGCGTGTGACTGCGTGTGTATGTTGTAGGCCCGTGCGCTCAGATTTGTATGCACGTAAAAGAAGCCCAGGTGGTCGAAATTTCCGGAGCCCCCCCACTACAGCGTCTCTCATAATCATATGGTGGTTTTGGGACGTGAAACGCCACATATCAATCATGTTACACACACACACACACACACAGACACACACACACACACACACACACACACACACACACACACACACACACACACACACACACGCACGCGCGCGCGTGCGAATGGTACATGCAGGTTTTGTACCTGAGCAAGAGTCGCATGGCATCGAAAATACGCGCCGCGTGCTCGCCATCTAGAAGGCCATAAAGAGTCTCACAATGCCTCACAAATTTATTGAATCGGTTCATTACGAGCGGAGAAAACAGGTTTTTTAAAGTGGCGTGAAACGAGGAAGAGGAGACGAGTTCGAAACCCTTGCCGCTCCTTCGCGTAGCCTTCGCAAGCCAAATCTCTTCCATACCCTCTCCCGCATCCTACCAAGAGGTGACGTGCGCATCACGTTCCGAACAAGCCCAGCCCCCGTGCACGCGAGCGGCGTTGCTTTGTTGACCAGCGTTATTTCGTGGTCTTCTGCCAGTTTCTGCGGGATTGTTTGGAAACGCTGGCTTAGACGCGGTAGAGTAGATGAGCACAATGAGTGCGCGAACGCGTAGGAGCGTTCCACGGTGGTCGTCTGCTCAATGCGCTGACCGTGGGAACCCGAACGCATGTGAAACGCTGGCACATTAGCCCTGCATCTCGTAGCATTTCACGGGAAAAAAATGTAAGAAAGACGTGCACAATTTTTTATTGCGTCTCGTTATATGTTTCAAGTTTTATTCATCTCTTAAAGCAACAAATACATAAACTACGCATGTTGTGTTAAATAATTTTTGCCATGTCACGTGGTATACTGCTGACAACGTCAGAGCAGAGTCGTCTACGTAGAGGACCAACGTGACAGCAGTGCTGTGTACGTAGGGCCATTCCTACGCCCACGTCATGTCCTCATTCTCTACGCGTGCGCAGGCAGAGGGGAAGGCGAACAGCTTTCATCTTGAAATTTGACCCATTTCCGTGGCGCGTAGCGTAGCAAATTTTGGCAGACGTGATCATGAACGCCTCGTCTACGCATTGCGCTTGTCAGCTCAATATTGTCAAACCTGGTGAGTGGCCCTTTAAGGAGACTCCTTCCACTACATGACATTTATGTAGTCTTTTTCTCCCGAAGCCGCCACACGTAACATCGTGGCTTTGTGGTAGGACACCTACCTGCTTGTCACCAGAAGGGCTCGGGTCCAATCCTCAATGAGACCGAAAGTTTTATTCTTTATTTTATTTGCTTCATTCTGGATTTTTCCCTCACGGACGATTTTTCGCTCACAACCAGGGGTGCCGACGCCGACGCCGGAATTTCTGCGACTCGGGCTCTTTAGCGCTATCGCGTTTAAACGCAAGCACTCTATAGCCTGACGCGAGACGCGACCGGCGTCCGTCGGCGCGGCCCGGCAGCAACCGGCGCGAAATGCGACATGCTGCATTTCGAGCCGACGGCGTTACCCAGGGAGCACTGCGTCTGCCTCTCTTCGTTATAAAGGCCACGCCTCCGTTGTGGAGGTACGCCGGGCGCGATCAAACGCGCATGCGTCAAAGCGACGCAGCGTAGCGGGCGCCTGTGAGTATGCGGCAGGCAGATCGGCGCCTGGCGTGGAATCGCCGGCGTGACGCGACGAAACGAGTGTAGTGCGCTCACGCGCCGGTTCACGTCGAAGGGTATTGGCGCCTTGAGTGTGGCATGTGGTCGTGTTGTTACATGACACGCATCTCATAACTATCATGTTTGCACCAGTCACATATCTTGCTCATCCATTCATGTCCCGTAATACCAAATTTGGTATATGCGAAGCTTGCGAAACGGCGGCGAGCGCATCATGAGCATGGCAAGTAGTCATATTGTCACATGAGACGCATGTCATGATGTTTATGTTAAGTAAGGTCTGTCGCTTGTGTTCGCCATGCAGTCATGTCATACCATACCAGTTTTGCAAAATATCATGTGAAGGAAACCACCAAAAGAGCAGCAAGACCATGAAATGTAGATCATGACACTCATGACATACATGTCTTGCCACATGACATGACTGTATGTCATGACACTCATGACATACAGTCATGTCATGCCATACCAATTTTGGTGTCGATACTAATATTAGAACGGCCGGGGGAGCAAAAAGTCGTAGGTGGCTTGTATAGATAAACAGTTAGATAGATACGATCAAAGTCGCCGAAGTTCGCTAAAAAATGGTTCGCATCCACCCCCCCCCCCCCCCACCCAAATGGCAGCATATCCACAGGGTGAATGATTGAGAGTATAGCGAAGCATAAATCCGTCTATTCGTTCTTGCTTCCGTCCGTCCATGCGTCCGCACGTCCATACGTGCTTCCATCCCTGCGTTCGTTCATGCATTTGCCCCTGCATCTGTCCATGCGTCCATCCGTCCGTGCAGTCATCCGTGCATGCGTCCATCCATGCGACTGTCTGTGTGTCTGTTCGTCCACCTATTCGACACTCCAAGTACCACCATCTCCCATCTTTCCATCATATATATTCCGCATATAGAAGCACCGCCATCCAGCGGACATTCCAAGGACTGAACGAAAGGTGGCACACGAACACTTTATAACGGCTTGCGCTTCTTATCTACTTCCCATCTTTAACCACCTCGAGTTCATGGTATATACTAGTTCACTGTATTCATGGCACTGCGGCCCAACGCTCGCTAAAATTTTCTAAAACCAAGGAGGTTACGCCCAGCGAGTATAACCTAGCAACCCTTTCTTGTCAGATAACGCTCAATGTACATGCCAATGGCTGCTGCAGATTGGGAATGAGAGACAGGAGAATTAGGCTTTGAGTTAACGCTCACGCTGCCATTTTTTTATTGTTCAACAACGCTCAGGAGAATTCTCCCACCGGTACCACCTTGCAGGTCAAAGCGTAAGACTGGTACTATGACTTGAGCTTTGCGAGGTATTAAGCAAGCACAACTCGCAGGCCACGCGTGAGATGATTGAAGCTTATCAAATAAACAAGTTTGACGGTAAATGTGTAAGTTGCCCTTCGGTTGCGTTGTTGCAAAAGGAGATTGCGTATCTCGATCTTTTTTAAGTTACATATGTATTTCTTTTTTCAGACCATTCAACAAGAGACAAGAGTATTGCTGACATTGTATCGCAGTAGTTGTTCCTGCACCCTTCTACGCATGCCCATTTTTCTCATTTTTCGCCTATATATGTACACCACTCCGATAATAAATTTTTGTTGAAAGTCAGTGCTCTTTTCCGTCCTTGTTTTTTTTGCTTCCGTAGTTACGAAGTAACTACTTCTAGGTTGCGCTGTTCCTGCATTCAGTTATGTCCTACCAACTTGCCCATGCTTCCACGTTTCGATAATGGTGTCGATACCAAACTTGGTATGGCATAACGTGACTGTATGAATAACATAATTGACTGGTCATAACGTGAAAATCATGACATGTATGTCATGATTTACATTTCATGATCCTGCAGCTCTTGCGGTGGTTTCGTTCACATGGCATGTTGCAAGACTGGTATGGCATGGCATGATTGCATGGCAAACACAAGCGACAGACCCTGACATGGAAATTATGACATGCGTGTCATGTAACAACATGACTACATGCCACGCTCATGAAGTGCTCGCGGCCGTTTCGTAGCATCATATATACCAAATTTGGTATTACAGAACGTGAATGAATGACGGAGGTATGTGATTGGTGCAAACATGATAATCATGACATGCGTGTCATGTAACAACATGACTATATGCCTTGCTCATGATGCGCTCCCAGCCGTTTTATGAGCTCCACATATACCGATAAGACAGATGCTTGAGCTAGTTGGTGATTGGGAATCAATATATTTGCGCAGCGCAAGACTACGAGTAGTTACGACTTAACTATAGAAGAAGAGACAAAGACAGAAAGAGCGCTGACTTCAACTGAAATTTTATTAGCGAAAAAGATGTATCAGCATGCCTTCGCTTGCTCTGACTAAAAAAAAAAAATCGAGTTTCAGGCTTTGACACTATAGATTGCGAACTTGTGCTGAGCTGTAGCGTTGTAACCATGTAATGAGGTGATGATTATCTTGCTGTGATGCAATAGGTTGCGCGTTTGCGCAGTGATGTTCTGTCAAGTGTATATATTTCAAGTGTTTTCGCTAATAAAATTTCAGTTGAAGTCAGCACTCTCTCTGTCCTTGTCTCTTCTCCTGTAGTTACGTCGTAACTACTTGGAGTCTTGCGCTGCGCAAATATGCTGATTCACATATGCCGAATTAGGTATTGCATGACGCGAACGGACGACGAAGGTAAATGACACGTCCAAACATAATGGACTACTTGACACGCTCATAGCACAGTTGCGGTCGTTTCACTAGCTTCATACATACAAATTTTGGTATTAGGTGACGTGAATAGATGACGAATGTAAATGACACGTCCAAATGTAATAGTCATGGCATGGAAGTCAAGTACGGCGTAATTTACCTCCGCCTCGTATAACATTGTGCTCATTTTAAAGTGAAATCAACCTTCCTCAGTCGTGGTTCGCATATCATCGATTCCCACTGCATGTGGGATCTGCCAGTTTTTTCAGAAAGAGCTTTGCGTCGCAGCCCTGTAACGCGAGATAGGTATCCGTAGTTACCTCCACTCAAAGCGTAGTCACCACAGTTTGAACGCACTTTTCGTGTAAAATTTCTTGCAACGTTTCTTTAAACACGCCGCTTATTCCATGCTTATGTTTTATTTGTTCAACTTGCTTGATAAGGATTGCTTGGAAGTGAAATATGACTAATGGACCAGTGATATTCGTAGTAAAAAAAGTGCTGTATTTGACATATTTGCACTGCGCACAATGAAGGAGAACAAATGAAAGCATACAACACCAGTGGAGCTGTCGTGTCCTTTCATTTTTCCTCTTTCGCTGTGTACTGTGTAAATGAGTGGATTCCAGATCACGAAGTAGCTCCAGCTACTGTTGCATTCTTTATGAGCACGTACGACAATGCGGAATAGGCGTTTTGCTTACAAATAACACTGCCGTATATTCACTCTCTCTCTCTTTTTCACACACACACACACACACACACACACACACACACACACACACACACACACACACACACACACACACACACACGCGCGCGCGCGCACACACACACGCACACACACACACACACACACACACACGCACACACGCACACACACACACACGCACACGCACACGCACACACACACGCACACACGCACACACACACACATCGTATTTACTCTGGTGGAGGCAGCAGGTTTGCTGCCCACCACACGGCTCCGCTCCTCACAGCCTTCATTGACATACTTTAAATGCGTGCCTAAGCATCCAATCAATAACAACTGTGCGTGTGCAAAGCCTGCTAGTCGTGCCACCCACCTGCTTGTTGTGAGAGAACTCCTCCCAGTTTCGCCGCAGCACTGAATGCAACGACAACAAAGTGGAATGTTCCAAGAAGTTAGCATTGCGTCCCAAAACCACGAAATTAATATTATTGCGTCGTAGTGGAGGACAGAGCAAATTTTGACCATCTGGTATTGTTGAACGTGCACTAACATCGCAGATTGCACGGGCCTCTACCGTTTCACCTCCATCGAGGTGCCGACCACCGCGACCAGGATCGAGCGGGCCTTACTACGAAACGCTGGTCCAGGGGAAACGGCCGCTCCAGTGAGTGAAGAGGTTATCATGCTGTCGGTTCAGCGTGAAGCAGCGAAAGCACAGCACGTATGGTACGTCTCATACAGCGCCGTGCCTCTTCAGAAGGGACAAGTATACTCGTCCCTTCTGGAGAGAAACGGCGCGCACGACCAGAGGCGACCGCGTCTTACAAGTCAAGTGCATATTTCCTTTCAGGCGCATACAGCCTTTGGTCTTCGGCCCCTATAGGGGAGAAATTGGGCCTTGTCGGTGAGACATTAGGCAAGGGTGCACGTTAAAAAAACCCAAGTGGTCGAAATTGCCGGAACCCTCTACTACGATGTCTGTCATAATCATATGGTGGTTTTGGGACGTTCAACACCAGGTATAAATCAAAGACATTATGCAATATTTAGCGCAAATAGACAGACATAAGGACAATAAGAGAGGCTACAACCCTTGCTTTAGCTTTACACAAAATGGTTTGTTTCAAGTGAAGCAGGAATATTCATATATAAGTGGTGATGCTCACATGCTACCGCTATATGTCCCGCACAGAGACGTGCTTCTTGTCATTCTCGTTTTTACAGGAGATGCGCAGAAACGTGCATTTCTATCATAATTTTTTCTATTTATATTTCGCATTTTGTCAGAAAAACATTATGAGAAGTTTGCAAATCTCTAAAGAAAACAATGTCAAAAGTACCTGCTCGCGCATGACATCTGGTGGCAGCGTGTGAACATCACCGCTATGTATAGTCGTTATTCGATTGAAAGAAACCATTTTGTTGAGGGTTAGCGCATGTGTTCTCTCTTCCCAACTTTCTGTCACCTTGTCCTCAATATTGCCTTCAGCTTCTTCCATGCATCCTTCGCTCGATAGAAGACAGGTGGCGCAGTTACTCTCCGCTTGAAAAGCCATCGATGGCCAGCCACACGGGCGGGGCGATGTGATCGCATGCGCCCTTCGTGCGACAGAGATGGCTGGCTCGTTTCATTTCAGGCGCGTTCGTCAGCAGCACTGGCGTGCCTTGTACGTACAACCTACGACGGCCGGGGCTACGCTTTCGATTTGGATTTTACTCGGAGCATAATGGCAAGAACCGGCCGAAATTGTTATCGTAACTGTTATCGCTATAAAAGAATGGCACGAGCACGTCTCAGGACATAAGCCAGTCATGACGCCAGTTCTATTTTCTAAAACTTCATGTTCTCGTACCTTGACCTGGGTGCCCCAGACGTCTGGCTCAATGATCCAGACGCAGTCGGTGTTCGGTGGGTAGTTGTTAGGAAACCTCGGCGTGGTGATGAACTCCATGTTGTCGCGAATGCTCAACCGTCCACCGCAGTCTGACAAAAATAAGAATAGAACGACGCTCATTTCATTGTACACCGCTCACTTGGGAAATTCGCCAGAGAAATAGCTTCAAGGAATCCTGATTCGAACTTGTTTACTTGGTATCTGGTACAAAACTCAAATAATATCAACAGCTGCTGAAGTACGAGGACGCAGTGGCAACGCACCTTAAAATTCTAGTTAACGCAGTGCCCGCTACGACACAAATGTTTCTTACAGACTGATTAATTTTCTGCACTAAAGTTCAGGTCAGAGTTTGAAGGCATATCAGAAACTCGTTGAGCTTTATGATGCAAGATCTGATCCTGATAGAGATGTTCCAGAACATGATTCCTTGCACAAAATAAATTTAAGTATTTTGCAAACCAACAGCATTTCTCATATTAGATGGTCATGAGTGATGACATTTTAGCATCCCTAAGTATTTTGTAAGCAGTGTGGGCACGTCTTATATATGCAACTTAAGGAAATCTTCAAAGCAAGACAATGATTTAAAAATAAACATACCATACATGCAACATGAATTAAATAACCAAATCAATAAGTAAATAAACAAACAAATTAATAAATATTTACGTAAACCAATGCAGCAATGCTCACTCACAGTTGTTGTTGCTCATGTAAGGCACGAGAATAACAGAAAGCATATGTAAAAAAAGTTCGCATGAAGGTTTTTTTTGTTTTTGGTGGTCGGGGGGGGGGGGACGAAGAATTAAGCGCAAAAACAAGGAAACATATATAAAAACGGTCAGCGATACATGAAAATTTCATAGTCATGACATTTTCGCAAGGTTTGCGTATAATTATTTAAAACACTGATGAAGTAAAACAAACAGTAAAATTCGTATATTGTCATGCGCGCCACATCTAAGCTACCGTTACAAGCGTCGCCTGAGCTCCGCGTATCGTTGGCCGCACATAAATGCAAAGGAAGCTTTACGATTGTTGTAAAAAATGCTGAAAGAATTGAACGTAGGACGCAAGAAGTTAAGTTTCGACTCGAACTAAGGCTAGCACTCGCGACAGCTCCTGTAAGGTACGATGAAAATGCGCAAAAGCCGGCGTTTTTCACGGGTGATAAGAAGACTGACGACAGACGATTGTGCTCGACGGTACTATTGCATTGAGTGTGTCGTTAAGTGGCCGAAATTTCCGGAGCCCTCCACTACGGCATCTCTCTTAATCATATGGTGGTTTCGGGACGTTCAACCCCACTTATTAATCAATGTTTTTCAGTTGCATGCTTGTCCAATAAAATGTTTCACCTTTGATTGTCCAACCTCCCCAATCTTGACCACCAGACACGTGACAATATTGCCACATTCCTTTCCTCAAATTTTGTTATCCCCCCGTTACACTACGTTCAGCGCAAACCACGCCTACGATGTACGAAATGCTTCGAGGCTGTAGTGGATTGTTTTGTTAAAATTACGTTCACTTCGTGAACATTGCAGATTATTTTGTAACCTACGTCGCCACTAGCGATAATGCTAGAATGTTCGATGGCAAGGGTATAAATGCCGACACGCTTCGCCGCTTGTCAGTTGATCGACGGCCGTCGCTCTGCTCGCCACAACCAGTACCAGTGTCTAGCTGTAATCTAACTTTTATTTTATGTGGCCACAAGTTCAGCCCAGATGAACAGTTTAGTAATCCACCTGCTGTCTGCTGCCGTCATCCACGTCACGACCCCCGTGACCATATTTAATCTCGCTAAAGTAGAGTTTCGTGAGAGGCAACAGTGAAATAGCTGATATTCTGGTCAAACAATGTCTTCTGACAAGTTCTGTGTATAAGCAAAAGAACAGTTAACAAGAAATTTATATGTTTTATTAGCAGTTGCCTCTTTAAGAATGACCCTGGTCCGCTATAAACAAAATTGTTTACAGGCCAGGCATTGAACCATACATTGCATCCAGCAAGATGTGCAGTCAGCCCCCGGGGTCCTGTAAACACTTTTATAATAAAAAAAACATAAAGCATACATGCTTTCTTATGTACTATCTCAAATAATATGAGCTTATGAACATGGCGTATACAGACTACGTTAATGACGCAATGCTGACACGCATGGGCCTGCAAGTATAAATTTGAGTCGACTAAGTCTTGCTCACTCCAACTCAGATCAATCTGTCAGTCTCAGTCTGAGTGAGCGACAAGGGAATACAATTCTTGCTGCAGTGTTTTCTTGTGTTTTCCTTGGTTGCAATCCTATGCGCTGCTTCACCCACACGGAATGGGGATCAGACACAGTGTTGCCCAAATGCCAACTTTATTTGCTGTCGTTGATTTTGCCGCTGTATGATGCAAATTAACGGTCATCTTACACACCGTTCTTAGACCTGGTCATTTTGTGTTACGATGAAAGAGAGGCTCAGGCCATGAATTTACCGGAGTTTTTAGTAAAGTTGTTACCTCCACTATAATTATAAAGGACTGTATGAACTTCTGAATGATTATTACCAATGTATTTCAATGCTCATCATATGGCCGTGTGTCGCCAGAAATAACCTGTACACCAAAGTTGGTCCCAGCACATCTACAAAAAGAAACGCAACCACGGCGTTGCGCAAGACAAATGTACATTCCAGAAACATGGCAATATACACTGTCCTCAAAGGTTATGTGGTGCCAGCAGACAAATAAAAAAAAGCAGTAAACATACGACTGAGCAAAAAGAACAAAAAATGAACGAGGAAAAAGAAGCATTCTCAAATTGGACTGACTTACCGTTCACCCGATATGATGCTCTGAAGCCACCAGAACTTTTGTTGTGCGCCTTCGAATAGTGGATGGAGATTGGCTCACTCTGTGGCACGACCACCTCCCTGTCCCCTTGTTTGCAGAGGCGGCCTGCGGCAGAGTTCAAGGTGCAGGAAAGAAAACTTGAGTATACGCTTACAATGCCCGTTTAGGGAACGGGGTAAGTGGTTTCTTGACAAGCAAGCGTAGTGAGCTCCCGATAAAACCGCAGATCCCCTTCACCTTTCCCTTTGTACGTTAAAAAATCTAGACCCTTGGTAGAATAATGACTATCTTTGACTCAACACATTCATCTCAGTCATTCTGTTTTATTCAATAATTAACTTCTAGAAGTGTAGATGTGAAACTCTAGGCCTTAGTAATGGGGCATTTTGATGCACAAAGGGCAGCAAGAAGAAATGAAGAATCACGAAGAAAGAGTGGCTCACAAGTACAGCGAGAAGTGAAGTTAGCGGGTGAGATGAATAAGATAAAGAACAAACAGGGGAACTCAAGTATTGGAGGTTATAATGCAAGGTATTTTGTTGAGCTACAGCTTGCTTAATCGCGTTAGAGATACAAACTGGATTCAAGGTTTCACCGTGACATGATAAAAGAAGATGCTGAATAGCGTCGACGCACTATCCACGTGCTATGCGATAACCCAGAATTAGTCATAGAAATGAGCTAGAATGTAGTGCCATGGCATCCCGTATGTGTACACACGGATAACTCGCGCTCCCATTATTGGAGGTCGTGTGATATGTTACCGTTAGGATAGCTAGTGCAGCACGAGGACACGTTGATTTGGATTCATTGGTTCGCACTGAACATTGTAGGTACACTGACACCAATTAGAAAGAAAAACGCACGAAAAGAAAATTCTTTCAGCTGAATTTATTGCGGAAAACCCGGATCGTTCTATACTTTCCTTCACCTATCAAGTAGAGAGTTCTCGGTCCTTGGTCAACACATTTATTACGTAAGTTTCACACGTGTTGTCGCGAATGTAAGTTATTTTCCCCCGTTATAAAGCAGTCGGTATCTTTTATTAAATTCATTTGATAGCATTTTCTGTGTTTCGGCTTTCCTTTTCATTTTGTAGCGCTGCCTGCGATGTTTAGCGCCTAAGGGCTGCAGTATGTCCAAGTGGGTGGGCTTTCATTTATGCCGGTTTTCTCGTGCCCGTTCTTGCTTATGAGGTACGTTGAGTTTAGGAAGCCTCGAACAATGAAATGGCGGTGAGAAAAATAGCCTAGACTACTCCTTCAGGGCCAAGAGCATGTGCTCCCTGCTGCCTAGCAAGAGTTGACTGGGCCAGCGTTGCAACCTGAAGTTCACACTTACGAACACTTGCACGAGTAACACCACACTTCCTTAGTCAGATATTGAATATTTGCTGCAGAAATGCTCGAATATTGACAATGATCAAAACAAGAATTGAATAGTTTTTGAGTACTCGAGAATGCAGTATGTTAATGTTGTTTCAGCGTTCATTACGTCTGATTACTGTAAAGTCCAGCAGCGACGATTACTTGTTGCAGACTAGAGGAAGAAAAAATAAATGTGAGCAAAATCTCAGTATAATAATTTCTTTCAAGCGGAACGCTGTTGTTTCAAGAAGGATCGGTTTTTGAAAACAAGTCTAATTGGGGACCGTTTCTACCGAATATTTTCTCCAGTCCATTTGTAAACATTTTTAACATATTGACATCCATGATCTAATGGCTGAGTCGGCAAATGACGTAACGCTTCTATTAAAAAAGAAATATGCCAGATACCTCGTATTGTACTTAACTTTTCGACGGACACAATCACTATATTGTCTTCATCTGTATATTGATGGGCCGTCGATTGACTGCACTAAATGCCGTTGTTTTTTAGTTACCAGACAATCAGTTAACCCAAGGGCATTTATTTGCTGTAGGGAGTATTAGCATTTGATTGCAAAGTGCTCGACACTAAAACTTGATGTTTCTCATGTTTTTATCCACCTGCCGTGGCGAGTAAACCTATAGCACACAAGGTGTCTCCCTTGTATACGCAAGGGCCCGAGTTCGATTTCTACCCCCTGCGGTCGCACTTAAATGGGTATGAAATGAAAAAAAAAAAACGCTTGTGAGCGAACTTATGAATGCACTTAAAAAAGACCGAGCGTATAGAGAATAATTTGGAGTCTCTTGGACTCGTAATCATATCGTGGTTTTGGTACGTTAATCTTTAACCATTAATATCGCCATCATCACTTTTTAGCAAGTGGAAGTATTCCCCATTGGATATGCGTTAGTGAGTGCTTTAAAATGTACATCTTACTGAAAGAGTGTGAATTACGGACAAAGCTGTTAGCCGCACCAACACGAGCACTCACTTCCATACTAGTGCTCTTTAGTCTGTCCGGCATTCCACTACACGCAAAGTGCTTTGCGTTTACCCGAACGCAGAATGTGAACTGAGCTTGCGTGCACCCGAACAACATGGCCCCGCCACCGAAGGTGGTTGTCATCCGCTTTGAATCTGTCAAGCGTTCGCAGAGAACCCTCTACCTCGTTAGCTCCGAACTGGTACCTTTATTTCATTTGAGTTCGTTTTCTTAAGCTTCGACAAGAAAGTATCTACGTGGATCAGTGTCAGCGTTTTCGAAAGCTTAATTGCTTGACCCTGTGACCTTAGAGAGTCGTGATGGGTGCTCCCGAAATCAGGAGTGACATATTTGGTGCGTTTGTTGTTTTAATCTTCCGTAGCTGGCAACACGTGAAGTGGCGGTGGATATGACACGCGCTATTCGGTATTACTCTACGCCTTTGCGATGCCGGTTGACTGGACCGACTAAAAAACGCTAAGGTCCACGCTCATGATCGTCCTGATTATTTTACCGTCAGCCTCTTTTGTTTTCTGCTTTCTTCGAGAAATTGGTGAATATTTGGCAGCAGCATATTTATCGTTTTAATTATAAGAGCACTGAAGCATGTCTTGGTACGCTGTACAGAGCTTTCTGTGTATGAGCGTATCCTGACAAGGGAATTAGTTAACCCTGCGTGCTGGTGTCCGGAATGAGGTGTGAAACTCACCCGTCATCTCACGTTGGGCCAACCTACGTCTGTTGGCTAGACTCGCACCCAGAGGTACCGAAATGGCGTGGTTTAGTTTTCTCACTGCCAATGAAAAACAGTCGCAATCAATATTGCCCTGAATCACTTCGCATTTGCTAAACAAGTGGCTACGAGTAGACTCAAACTTCGTTGACAGGAATAAAAGAATAACAATAAAAAAGTCGAGCTCCGAATAATGACAAATTGACTGTTATCCCCATGTTTATTATATGTGTAGTGACATATATTATTTATAGTTCCCTTAAGGGAACTCATGCTACGGGTATTTCACTGGTGTGGGCGGGGAGAAGGGTGATTTTGGCTAGTGTTTCTTGACAAAAGATCATCGTGATAACTTTGTATTGAACATCATGTTATAACCATTATAGGGATCTTGCAGAGATTGCGCGGTGTCGTAAGTACAGCTTTAAGTAATGCTTTACGTACTTGAAAAAACACTGCACCAAGACCCGCTCGAGGCCGAGCAGGTTGCTATTGCACTGGCTGTAGTTGACGACAATGCGGAAGGCATTTTTAGTGACTCTAGATCTGCAATCCTGTCTTACGCTAATGGCAGAATTTCGCCGCAAGCCCTACGCATTCTCCTGAACAGTTCTAAAAAACCCTGCCATCATAGGCTTATTTGGTTCCCTGCTCACGTCGGACAGATCCCTGGCTGCCCCGTCAACCTCAACGAATCCGTTCTTAGTGCTGCGCGTGTATTGACTGGCCGTGTTGATACTGGCCGATTCGAGGCCATGAAGAATAGGGACGTGCCATCCACTTCTAACAAAATTTCTAAGCACTTCTACTTTTCCCGTCTGGTCTTCCCGCCACCTAGACCTAAGCTAAGTCGGCCTTAAGCTCTTACTTTAAGGCTATTGCAGACGGAGTTGTACCGAAATAGACAAGTACTCCCCACCATATAACCGGAACTCTACGATGATGATATATGCAACAAGTGCAAAATAACCGGCTGGCTATGCTTTGACATGCGCTCTGGGAGTGCACTACAATGTATAACGATGTTAACCTCGATGCTACTTCGGTGAGGTGGCCGGCTGCCTTGCGTAGCTCTACCCCAGCAGACATGGGCCGTCCAGCAAGCCCGCGGTGTGGCTGTTAGGCTAGGCCTCTTTGTCCCAGCGGCGGAGCCCCGAGCTAGGACATTATGAAATGTTATTTCATCCATCTCGCTCCCGCTAACAAGAATTCTGCGTAGATGTTAAGCAGCGGGCGTTAACGCTTACACTGGCGGTGACGTTGACGCTCGCACTCGTCGTTGCGTTGCGCGTAGGAGAGAAAACTGGGGAGGCGCAACTACGTAGTGATCAGCCGACGTTTCCTACTGGAACATGCCAATCGCTGCTAATGGGCAACAAGACAGAAGACTCCAATCGGACACACAGACCCGCAGTTCGTTTTTTAGTTAACGCGCACGCTGTGAATTTTTATTGTTCAACAACGCACAGGAGAAATCGCCCACCGGCACTCCTTTGGAGGTCAACATCCGGTGCCTATATATATATATACGGGGTGGCCAGTGAACGGTTGTGTAGCACGAGCAGTCGGTGTTTATTAAAAAAAAAGGCGAACAGTCAGTGTTTTCAATAGTTCAATATAATTTTTAATCAAGAAATTCGCCAGCAGATGCTGCTTGCGTCGGGGTTGCAAAGTGAGAGTCGAGAGGAATGTAGGAGAGGAGGGGACACGGAGGCACAATGGGGGTGTAAACGTCGCGGGGAGGAATGCCTAGAGGAGAAATGGAAGGCGGAGCGAGCGTCGACCAGCAAACGCTGCCTACGTCGGTGTTGCGAGGCGAGAGAAAGGGAGCATAGGAGAAGAGGAGGAGGGAGCGCGCATGCGCAATGGGCGTGTAAACGCCGCGGGGAGGAAAATGCAGTCACCTCTTCATGTAAACCATATGGCTAGTGTATTTGTGCTTTAAACATTGCGACTTTTGCATTACATGTCTATACATGACCATGTGCAATGAGTTTAAAAGCTTTAGTTGATTTAGCTAATTTGCTTTATTGCTTATTGATTTAGCTTTATTTAGCTCATTTGCTTTATTGCTTATTGATTTAGCTAATAGCGATTTAGCTAATTTAGTTGATTTTGCGTACGGTTTTTGTCAGCTGTGATGTTCTGTTCCCGCCACCGCCACTGTATTATGTGTAAAGGGGTGTGAGAACATAGTCAAGCAGATAGTCGCTTTTATTCTCACCCCCTTTCATCAACTGTGTATTGTTGGAAATAAACTGTTATATTATTATTATTATTATTATTATTATTATTATTATTATTATTATTATTATTATTATTACAAAGAGGGGAAGCAAGCGTTGGCTGGAAGACGCTGCCTGCGTGGGTGCTGCGAGGCGAGAGTGGAAAGGGGACGCGCATGCACAGTAGGGATGGTCACGTCGCACACCGGATTGAGCTCGACCCTAAGAAGCTTCGCACCGAATGAATGTCGAAAATTGGCTGGAGTAATAGGAAGGGGGGGGGGGGGGCATTTCCATGAGCTCGAGTGAAAATTCCATACTGTAAGTGTGTTAGTGTAGAAAAAAAATGAAACAAAAAAAATACGTTGACAAACATCCTCGGATGTCAGTCCGCAATTAAGTATGAAAGCACGGACACGCTAAAGCACTAGCTAAAAAGAGACAAAAGACAAGGTTACATAAACAAATTATTCAGCCGGGGCTTGGTAAAGGCGCAACAGAATTGAGTATAGAAACTTTTTATCGCATTCATACCCTCAATCAATCTTCCTGAGGTCACAATAATTATACTGATCATGAGCCCGAACCATGTGTCTTACCAACTGAAGTTAGGAGGGCTTGCAGGCCTCAGTGCACATTCCGGAAAAGAGAGAGGGAGAAACAGTGCTAGTAGGAAAACCTTTGGTAAATTTTGAAAGTCAACGTTGATGTCATGGTCAACAGCAGGAAGAGAAACAGATGTGGAAAGTTGGAAAGCATCTGAACTAGATATGGTCGTTCACAACCTCTAATCTTCTGCTTCTGAGCCAATGCCCATGTTGCTCCATGCAGTCGTAACTGGAAAAGCTGGAAGGGCACGGTTCGGATAAGGTATCGTCTCTTGAAATTCGTGGTGCGCCTGCGGCTTGTAGGTCGACAATATGTGGCATCGCCCATAGCGATGACATTCAGAACACGATGCGCGCGTTTATTTAACATGGGGCACTTAAACTTAACGATTAGGTCTGAAGGGACAATTTTAGCGCCCCTGGGCTAGTAAACCTTTAAACCTTCGAACAACAACAAAAAAAAAATTGAGGGCCGCGAGTCATTGTTATTCCATAGTTATTATTTCACCGATGCCTATTTCTTACTTATTTTGACACAATGAAGACATTGCGTAGTCTAGCTTATGTTTTACTCAGGAGAATCGTCCCATAGCGCTTGTCTCTCATCCCGCCGTTTAACTAACATAAGGCAACAGTAGAAGACGTTGCTATTACATAGTTGATATTAGCCTTTATAAAGTAACAATAGCCTGCTCATCAGTTATGGTTAGCCAACATTAGCTGAGTTTAGCCACAATTTAGCCATTATTATCGAACATTATCAAATGATAAGAGCTAGCACTGCATGAGTGAATCCTTAGCCAACACCGAAAAAAAATTGCATGCTGTGTCGCAGTATGAGGCTGTGTGAGCTAACCAAGTGCGGGTATTGTGAGAGAAAATGGGGTCAACCTTTATGCGCGTTTTCGTGATACCCATAATGTTTCAGTTCCTTTTTACGTACGCCAGCTGTTCTTGTCATTCTTACGTTCACACCAACACACAACCACATTCACTTATCAGTTCAAGGAATACTTGTGCACGGAATGAAAAGGAAGCACCGCTTACGTGAGACGTGCACGAACTCGGCCCTACAGTTTGCGTTCTCGGTCGTGGTGAAGTTCATGCTGTCCACCGTGACGGCCAGGGTCTGGTTGGGCGTCAGCGCCAGCGTCCACTCGCAGCCGTAATGGCTGCCGCTCGTTAGTGCTTCGGCGGGCGCCTCCAGCGTACCGCTCGTCTCGGTCAGCTCCTGATAGCAGGCTGCAACACGTTCAAAAGAAGGTACTGCCAGAAACGTTATAACACAGTATACCTTAATAGCCGTCCTGTAAGGGGTTTACCAATGTAACGAGGACAATGTATTCTGACCCATCAGCATGACCCTGCTCACACCAGCGACATGATTTGCAGGCGCACGATACCCATTACTGTCACAGTGACTAGCCTAGATTTGCCATGGCAAGAAACGTGATTCATTGCAGGCATCACTGTCGCCGTGTGACTGAATTGTCATTGTGCATATACTCCTTCAAAAAGTAAGTACTGTTATTACCACGTCAATATTGGCAAAAAAATGTTCTCGCCATTATTTAATTGAGGTCTGCCATTCAGTACGTCAACGAGCATCTGCACAGAGACCAATGAAGGGATGTACATAGACTCAAGACTGTGAAGAAAATTCGCCGTAGAAATAAGAGGTCTTTATAACTCTGTGCATCACTTTCCAGCCTTATTGAAGCATTACATTCAACGCCGCAGTGAAATGCATACGCAAGGTTGTCAGAAAATATATTGTAGTTTTGCGCAAGCTCCGAAAGCTTTCTTGTACTCGATCTATCTCATATCTAAAGGAGAGGATAAATGGTTTTGGATGCTGAGAATGCGTGTATTAACCGAGGTGAATGGGGCACTTACGTAGCTCCTTCGTGGTGCCGTAGGTGACGCGGATACCTGATCCTCCAGCGAGCCGTTGAAAAGTGTACGAGACGACGATACGACTCTGGAAGGACTCGTAGGCGAACGGCAGCGCGTGGCCGCACTCCACTGTGCGTCGGTAGAAGCGCTCCATTATCTGCGTCAAGCAGGTATCGCATCAGCACCGTTTTGACGTTGCTATAGTTTATGACCGCTCTAAGTTTGTAGCACAGCAGCTGCGTTCGCTTCCTTATACGCTACTCTACATTAATCCATAGACACTTTCAATGTTTACAAACACAGCCCCTTGAAGACATGCGGTTTCGTCCAACGATGTGCCTTAATAGCATCGGTAATAATAAGAGCATCGGTAATAACAAGAGCTTTAGAAAATAGCCCGCTGATTTTCTACAGTTTATTTCGCTTATTTGGCAAAATATATTCAAACAAATGTTCTTTTGAGCTACATAAAAATGATAAAACATTTCCTTATACCTGAAGCACGTTTCTATTATGTGGAAAACGGAAGACAGACTCTCTCTATACCCTTGAAAAAAACTTGAAAATGTGCTTTCAGTTTGGAAGTTAGGAGCTATTAAATGAGGCGACCAGAGGTTTTTTTGGGTACAACGCTCGTGAATTTGAAACCATCTATAAAACTCGGGCAGTAATACAAACAGCTGAGTTTATGGGTGATTATGAATTTAGCAACTAATAAGTAAAACAGAAAATTACTCTAAATAATTAATTTCAGTGCATAACAGGTAACAAAAGAAGACATTGAGCGAGGAGGGTACAAGTCAAGTGGTCGGCCATTGAAATGGGAGCAAACAAAAAGCAAAAGACAAAGCGCCAGAATGTTGTCACTATAGAAAACAAGAGGTGAATGATTAGTCAGTGTTAAAATACATCTTGAGTTGTTCAATAACATGGTTACGATCGGAGATTTTTACGCTGGCGTCGGGAAGATAGTTTCAAATTGTCAAGGAGCACGGCAGTGCAAATGCATTATAAAAGTTCCATTCATTCAAAGATTACGCTTTTGCAGAGAATAATACGTGAACGTCGTGCTATGTTGGCAGTAGCGTGAATAGATATGTACATTTTAAGTGGTGGAATTGTAGGATATGGACAAGCTTTTAGAGCAGAGAACAGAACAAACGAGCAACGAGTACCTATCGATTGATAATGAAATATGCTAATTATGCCCTGCGTCTGAAAGCCTCGCATCGGAGGTTCACAGACACTTCAGTGTATTAACGCTTTTTAGATCAAGAAAGGTATGAATGCCTACAGACCATACTATTAAGTTTAGGGGTTTCATGAAAGATGTGGAAGTTCCAAGCAGCGATTGCGAAGGCGCTCAGGTTGAAGATACCGAAAGATACTTCCAAAGATCATTTTACATCGGCTACAACGCAAAGTTCAAGGAAGGAGCAAACTGAGCAACACAAATGAAGTCTGGACTCTAGCATTTCACCTGTAGCACAGCCGTGCAGTCGTTAATATTTCCGTCGATGCTGAGCGACACCCGGTTGCCTTCAGGCGCCGCGATCGTCCAGTAGCAATGGCGACGCTCTTCCAGGGGTCTCGGGAATCCCGGACTGGTGAAGGTTCCTTCGTCCGCCGTCTGCTCACCACCGCAGTCTGGAGTATAGTAGAAGCCACGAGGTGGCAGGCTTTAGCATCATCCCGATGATCTCTTAAAGCACAGGGGTCTCAAACTCAACTGAGCTAGCCAGCCGGAATCACAAAATTGAGCCTCTTGATGGGCCGGGAGGGGCTACTTTACGCAAGATGTCAGCCGACATCACCAGTTTGAAGGAAGCCCATGGAATGTCTCACTATCTTATACATGGGTTTGATGGTGATCTGATGTGATGCATGTTTTGAGAAACATATCGATACTGATATCTAGAATGACTGAAGGCTGGATGCCGATTTCGATATGTTCAGTTTTTGTTCTACGCTAATACCCTTTAGGGCATAGTGAGCGTAATGGTACTTGTGCATTGTTACATTTTGTTGAGCGCTGCCGGTTGGCGGGAGAGTGACGAACATGTGTAGGAATCGCAGAGTAAGGGCAATGACACGGAGAAAAAAAAATTAATCAGAGTATTAAGGAGCACAAAACAGACGAGACAGACGAGAAGGACTAAACAGGACGAGCACTCACAACAGGTTCAAGTGAGTGCTCGCCCTGTTTAGTTCTTCGCATGTCTTTTGTATGTTTTGCGCTACTAAGTACCATCACGGATGAGTAAAAACTCGCGCGAATATCTGTGCTTCTAAGCCAGAAATGCATTGTTGAAACTCGGGCGTGTGCTTGCCGTAATTCCGAGTATGTGATTATGCGTTCTGTGTGCCAGGCCACCAGCCGGGTGGCCTGCAGCACACAGAACCCCGGTGTAGCGTGGGGAACTGTATGCGGCTTTCTGTTCTTTTAGATTTACATGAAAGACATAAGACCCATTCTATGTTTGTAAACACAGGTAGGCCGATGTCGATATTATGGGTAAAATTATAGCGACGTTGGCACGTAACTTAAGCCATAAGCACTGAGGGCTGCGATGTGCGCCAACAAAACGACATCGTGAGACCCCATAAGCGCTGTGAAAGTCATAAGCGCTGAAGACTGTGATGTGCGCCAACAAACAAAATTAGGTTGTGAGACACGACTAACATCCAACCACGACGCCGTTTGTCGGCATACCGTTTTTTTGTCGTTGCTTGACTGAGAACACCACATGCACCATTGAAAACCTAGCAGAAACTGCGGTAGGCAGAGCGTCTTGTGCCGATAGGAAGACAGCGCCACCGCATTTTTGTGACGTAATTACGGTGGAATTTGTGTACCATGCGTCACATGCGTTGACTTGCGTTAACATGCGTTGTTACACTCCCGATTGTATGCGAAAGGTCATGTTCTCAAAGGGCCTCTGACCAGGCTTCCAAAATACAAAAACAATGAGCACAATATTATTTTCTTATATTCCTTGTCCTTCTTGCGCACTTCTGCGACGCAGGCAGTGGTTGCCGTGACGTCTACAATGTACGTGTTCTGGATTAATAAATATACGCGAAGAATCAAATGTGATTTCTCTCTTGAACTGCTTTGTCATGCAGCCGCTTGTCTGGTCTTACTTGTCTCGCATGAATATTGTGCCCGATAGACCAATAACGCCTCGTTTTGTGTGTTTAAAGGTGCGCTAACGGCGATAACAGCGTGCTTAATATAGCCAAAAAGCGCGAAGTCCTGATAGGCTCTGGTGCTTAGTGCTGACATTGTTCACGTGATTTAAAAAACTAAGGGGTGAGGAGGTTGTATTGCGTGTGACAAGGGTAGTGAAAGAAAGGCAGAATCCCCCCCCCCCCCCCGTCTTTGAACCTAGGGTAGTGAATGACACATTAACAACATTTTCACTCTTTTTTTCAGAGAAAGAGAGAGAGAGAGAGAGAGAGAGAGCGGAAAGATAACATTAATCTCAGCAAAACTGCGTGTATGTCATTTAAAAGGAACCTGATACATTTCCTTTTCTCGCACGCCCTAATGACTCTCTACTATCGAAAATAAAATTTAAAAAATACAAACGTCTGGCGCTTCTTTTAACTCATCCCCCGTTTTGGAACAAACATAGTGAAATAGTATGCAATAAATCACAAACAAAGTCGGCTACGCTACACGAACTCTTCGGGGAACTCTTCAGTACAGCTGCTGACTTGTTGAACACAAATGCGGCCGTTGATCGAACAAGCATCGCCAGTCTGAAACCATTTTCGGAAAAAGTGATATTCATAAGGTTAAGTATAAATAAAGTTGTACGTTTCATTTACCGCAGATATGCCTTATTTTTTACATTCCTCAAACCTGTGTACTCCTAACGTCACAACTTCGTGAACGTGTCGCCACGTTGAAAGTTTACTCTTTCTGCGCTGCCTAATTGGCTGACAAATGTACTAAATTTATTGATCCTCCGGTACGGTATCTCTCAATGACTACAAAACTTGACATTTCAAACTGTAAGTGATATGTTTAAACCGCGACTTACGGCCCCCTCACCTGCTCAGATGGCGAGGTTCTTTAGGAAGCGCGTGTCCTCGCTCTTGTTCAACTAACTGCTCGCTGATGTTGGCGCTACTTATTACATGTTCGTTTTCTATTCTATGGCTGCTTCGACGGCGCTGAAGTAATAACGCCTGCATTCCGTCATGAACTGCTGGCACATATGTGACAATTTCTGCAAACTTGGACGGCTGGCCAGGTAAGCTGTTCATGGTGGTCAAGTATTTAGTGCACACTGTTTCACTGACGCGGGAACCTGTAGACTGTCGTACATAGTGTAGGACAGGTTCTGTGGCATCGCGTTCAAATCTTTTAAAGAGTTTATGAATTGCTTCTAGTACATTGATTTGCAAAGTATTTTGCATTTTTGCAGAATAATTACACAGTATGAGCCCTCTGTTGGTCGAAATATAACTAAGGCCCGTTTCGACAAACTATCCTGAGCCTTACCTCGAGTTTTTCTCATCGGTTGTAAGTGTCTTGCGCTTGATGTACGATGTAGGCCAATATTCGTGAACAAGACTTGCTATGATCATTTACCTCTTTACCAATTTTTCACCTTTATAACGCATGTAGAGGGTACAGAAACTTGAGGAAAGCTCGAGGTAAGGTCAAGGTTGGTTTGTGAATATGGGCCTAGGAACGCTGAAGATGACATTAAAAACAACTTATGACCAGTGCCACGCCAGTCATAGGTTATGGTCATAGCGGCAGAAGGTACGAACAAGACGTGGGCGCCGGAGAGGGGATATCTAGGGAGGTCAGGAGTACGATAGGTTATGGTGTAAACAAAGCACCTTCCCCCCTACGAGAATGAACACCGGAACCTTTTTCATAGAAGGTGTGCCAGCATTGTCATATTGTGACGCTTCTGAAATTGCTCTATGAATTTTCATTGCCGCTAAATCTATGGCCGAATGCGGCTGCAGTATGTAGAAGTAGATGAATAAATAAAAAGCAACTTCTCACAAATCCGAGAATCTGTCATCTGTAAGTTACGTGCATGCAATGTCTCATGGCATGTGACGTGCGAAATAAATGAAAGAATAAAGCTGAGCTCTCACGGCTGAATTCGGAGTGCCAGCGCAACGTGAGAGAACGAGGGTTGTGGCGCGTCCCCGAACTGAGCTTGACACGCAGGAACATGGAGTTCTCCGAGGACTGCACGTCCAGCGTCGAGTTCGGTCCACAGATCTGGGCCAGCACTGGACCTGAAAAATCAAAGAGGCGCCAAAAACGTTGCCGCAAGCATATCGAGTCTTTACCACAGTAGACATCTGCGAAATCACTCTTCTGAATTGTGGCACTCATGTATATGTCAATGGTTCCTGTTAACAGACCAAAGAGTAGGAGTTTTTATACGTTTTCTCGCCACTGCCCCTTACATGGTTTTCACGCTTGTTTTCAATCATTGGCGCCGCCAAGGGGCTGAGTGGTCGGTGACGGTTTTGACAGCGACCACACGGGGGATACAAAAAAAAAAGACCGTCAGTACGGGGTGACGAAAATGATCACCGAAACTTGATACGTCATAGCAACGTCACTGTGAAGTCGTATAACGTGACGTCACGTGATGACTTTATCAAATGAGAAAATTGCTAGGTCAAAGGTAGGCCGGTCCTGGAGGCACAGAGGGCGAGGAAGCTTGGAACACCTGCGATCCTGCAGGTAGCGAAAAACAGCGCTAGCCGCAGAAAGCTTATAGTGGCAGAAAGGGGGAGGAATCAGTTCAATTGCCAGAGAAGAAAAAAAAAAGCCGCAGTTTCACCGGAAGGGCGAAGCAATGAATTCTACAGCGAGAAAATGTATTGTTATACAAAAAGAGGCGGTCTAAAATGACTATTTTGGATGCTATCTCAGGCAATTCCACAAAACGCTGGTGTAAGAGAATACGGCCCCTCCAGGGACACTTTTCGCACAGTCTTTTCATGTTAAGAGCGCAGCACGTAGAACAGTACACGATCCGCCCTTTAATAGCTGCCGAGGAGCCAGCGCTGGCGAGTGCGCCCCTAAATCCAAAACTCATAGTTGGTGCTACTGCACCCCCTCGCGTCTTTTCATGCTCGTTAAAGACGAGCGCATTGTTTCCTTCCCACTTCGAAGGCAGGCCTCCCAAGCGGGTTGATGTTATCGCATGCGCTCTCCGAGCGATGGCGGTGAGCTGGCTGGTTTCATCTCAGCTGGAGCCCCAAACTGCGATGTATGAAAGAATTTTATAAGTTTGTATTACACGAGCCATGAATGCGAGGACAACACTGATGGCAACGGCAAAAACCTGTCGATGGTGTCCACATAATTGCTATGACAACAAAATGAAACAAAACATAGCTTTCGCTTACGGTGGATACATGAGCTACCCTGTGAGTTTTTCTGGCTGAGAAAGATGCACCTCCGCACGGTTATTTGCTGTGATCACAATTTAATATCTCAGTTAAAGCCATTCATCACTTATAGCGACTAGTCGACAGCGTTACTAAATTAATTTTGTTTCCTGTAAATGGTGCGCTACCGACGTGTCCTTGAACTTCACACATCTAAAATACTGCCTGTTCTGAAAAACCTTTTAACTTCCGCACATTTGGTGTATCGGAAAAAGCAAGCTGTGCTACCGCAACTGACATACCTAATGAATGTTTCTTTAAGATTTTCTTCAGCTGAAAGAAATCACCTCGGAAGTGTTTGCATAATCTTAAAAACCATTTGCCGACGTGGGCTAGCCATATTAATCCAATAATATTCACATAAAATACGACGAAAATACACAGGTAATATTGCTATAGTTTCTGCGATTATGGAGCCAGATATACAGAGATATCAAATCTCAAGTATCTGAATCTCATACGAAGTTCTCTTGCCACTTAGAGCGGACACAAAATGTTCCCAAAAATCTGGGGCGATTTCACAACAGTAGCTGAATCGATTTCACGGTGAAACAGTGGAAATGGGGACAGACTTTACTGCCAGTACGTGTGCATTCATCTCTCTATTTTTCCTCTACATCATATTGTGAGAGTTGAGGCTCAAGCAAAGGGTGGGGGTGAACGCAGTGCTTTTAAATATTGTACACAAAAATGCAACACACACAAACAACAATATGTTTTGCCTCCGAAAAAAAAAACTAGTTGTCCTTGGCGCTGTGCTTGAAACAAGCCCACTTTTATCATTAACCTCCCCCCTCCCCCCGAACTATTTATTTGTGGCTCCGATGAGTAACGCACTGACATTTTTTGTCATCTAGTTGTACTTTTTACTGTTATGTGATAGTGAGTAGCTGGGTTATTTCGGATTCAGATCCTTACACAACCTTACTCAATGTCAATATACTGACGATGTGAACTGGTAGTGGACCCCATGGAGTTTCTATGCATTTTGTCACCGCCTCTCATCTAAAATATTCACAAACAACAAAAATGCGTTGCAGGCACGCTATGCACTGCACTTCTTCTTTCTGCCTTTAGAATGGTAGTAATAATCGTTTGACGAAGACGGCTACTGCTTTCCTGCAAACACGAATATCGGTGCGTTCGAGAAGCGTCCCGACGAAGAATAAATAAAAGAATATATTCTGACGAGCAAACAATACAAATACTCTATATGAAATGTTCGCAAGTCGTTAGCAAATCGAAATAAATTGAGTAGTGATGGGTTCTGAAAACGGCCAGTGCATTCATGCTCTTACATGGTAGTCATATTGGTATCAGTAATTTGATGCCACTTGCCAGTGGAAGAATAAATCAATAAATAAAGTGGCAAGGCATGCAATGCTGTCAGACATGCAGCACTGTCCTTCATTGCCGGAGCGACAACGCCCATCTCACACTTTTAATTTTATGCACGGTGTTACCGCAAGCTGAAGCGGCTATTTCACTGCTGCGTGATATAATTCAGCAAACTTTGAGTCATTTATAAATAATTTACCCATTCCAATCGTAAAACTGACCGTTTGGAATACACGAGAACATGTAGATTGATATCATCGCCCACACTAATTTCCCCTTACAGCAAGCTTTAACTGCGCAGTGAACAAGCAGGACAAATGTGAGGACAGCAATATATATATATGTATCAACGTTTTCTCGAATGTTTCTAAGGAGAACTATTTTATGTCGGGAATTCGCAGTTTAAATAAAAATGCTTGAATACTTTGCAGCGTGCATAAAAATGCACTGTTCCCGGGGAGCTTACTTGCGTTTGTAGTGGACTAAATAAAGCTATTTTATTAACCGCTAAATCACACGATTTCTGGAAAAACGCTGCTCCCAAAATAACCCTAAAAGTCACGGTGGTATGTATTACGTAAACTATGTTGTAGTTTTATGTTGCTCAATAATGCATTTGTAAACTTTCTTTAAAATTACAACATATGCAGAAGGTGCATATTGGATTGTGACAAATCTTTATGCTGTATCTAAAATGAAATAAAAAAAACTATCCAAACTGCCGCAGTGACAAAGAAACTTATTTTCCTGTTAAAATATATTTAAATAGAGCAGCTGAGTAGAAGATTGACTTAAAAAGCTAATTAATCTAATAATATTTTCGAAGATTAGGCAATGGAGGCTAAGAAAATCTTTATTTTCCAACGAGTTGGAAGTCCCTGAGGCAAAAAGTGGTTATAAAACTATTTAGGAGTGTCTGAGGGCCCGTGCATACATGACAGCAGTTCAGGAATACAAGATTCTAATAAAAAAATGCTGGGAGAGAAGAGAACAGAACATAACAAAATAGAATAGTATAGAAATATACACCCAGCAAACTAAATAACTGTTTATGTGCACTCATACAATGAAAAATACAAAAATTAGTCATGATAAATATAAAGAACGTGATGAGAACAGTAATGATTTCATTTTGGTGACGTTCATACAGCATTTTATAAAAAGACATTAGGCAGGGATGAAACAATTATTGACGCAGTTCTCCTTTTGTAAACATGAAAGGTTAGGCTAATCACCCACATATTTGTCAAGTAGACGCGTTAGCATGTATGTCAGGGGCCGCCAGAAATAAGGTTCGTGCAATAACGTAAAACGAGCCACCTGTTGGTGCTTCGGGTTTGCGAACCCAGTGGTTGTAAACTAGGCTAAGAAGCTTGCTTCCTATAATTAAATAAAATAAGCCAATAACCACGAACACCCGGCCTCAAAACGTCGTGCTTTTTATAGAATTTCATCACTCACCAGTGCGGTTTCCGTCGCGCACCTCGAGGAAGTCGAGACCAGTACATCCAGGGCTGTCAGCAAGGGTGAGACCCCTGACGCTGAGCGCGACCACCGTCTGGTCGAGGGAACGCAGCTGCCAGGCGCAGTCGAAGTAAGAGCCTTCGGCCAGCTTCTCCCGCAGTTCCTCCAGGTTTCGGCTGCGCTCGTTGAACGGCCACAGGGTTCCGCCACAGTCAGCTGCAACAGACGCATAAAATGGACACTTGTTGTTCTCACGATGATAGAGTCGCCTACTGGTGCAGTTTAAAAAATATATATATGCGCTTTTTTTTTCAGAAAGTCCAGACCTGACCTGCACCAGTGGAAGACTCTTTTTGAAGAGACACGTTATTTCTTTCTTGAGTCTCATGACTCTTCAAAGAGAGGAAATGATTTGAAAAGAGACCTCTTGCTTCTGTTGAAAAGAGTCATAACGTGGCAAGCCAGAGCTCCTAAAATGCAGTCAAAGTAACATTCCTGTATATTTCGAAAGCTGGCCTATAGGCATTCAATACGAGCGATTAAATATAGAAACGCTAATATGTTTCTTGTATGAAGTTTTAGAGTGCATAAAAACAATTATGCCAAGATAAATGAAAAAAAAAAGCACTGGCGCTGCAGTCAGGTTCTCGGCCTCCGTCCTTCGATTCCGACCTTTACGTTTCGACGTTAGAGTGGAGTAGCTTACCAGACCTATTCACTCTCATCCTCTCCCTCACTTTTGCTGGCTTTTGAAATTGTTCATTTTTTGACATTGCCATTAGCCTACTTGTGCTGATTTTTAGGTTTCCGAATGGTCATACTTATATAAGTGCTTAAAGGGGCACTTCATGGTTACAAAACGCTGCTGATCGATAATAGAGGCTACTTAGGTGATGTGAGCCAAATAATATAGCATGTGGTCTGCAATTCCCAATAAATTCTCAACGTTACCTACAAACCGCTTTCTCTTCTTTCGACAAATGACAGAAGCAGCTCAAAAATCGCTCGTCCGCGTCGTCGTATCAGTCATTGGTTCATTAGAGCATGGCACGCTCGGTCGTCACAGGGATCACCGCGGGAGGTGCTATACAGCTCGGTTTTCGGCTGTAATCGCATTGTTTAAGGTGTAATGGAAACTTGGAAGCGAGAATCGTGAAGTACTTGTTATTCTGTGCACTCAGTTCATTTTAAAGGCTGCAGTCGTAAGCGACAACTTGATCGAGGCGCTCGCGCATCGCCTGCTAGCTAGGCCGACACCAGATAGCTCATGCAAGTAATCCGCGGAAGATCGTTTTGTCACAGTGGCATTCGCTTGACTGGGAGTAGCTTTTTTGACTAGCTGAAATTCGATTTTTGAGAGAAGCCCTTGCAGGAGCTAATAATAACAGCTTGGGTGCCTAATGTTCGCCAATGCTTGGTTCTCTCTAGTGGCGTAGCACATTATACGCAAGCCTGGAGTTCATGCACTAAATAGCATGAAATCTCAGTACACTGCTTCCAGGGATATAGGTGATCATCCATTCCCTTCGCAAAGCCTGACATGTATTGCCAACGAGAAAAAGCAAGTGTCAGAAAATGAGGAAGTATAGCAGGTGATTTCACCATTTGAGTGGTTAAACAATGAAATCATCGTGAAATAAACAAGAACAGGTCCAAATGTGGCTCGAATTCAGCGATTGTTGCCTGTGTTTTAAAAAGGCACTGTTAAAGTCTGAACTCTAACGCTGACTCTCAACTTGAGCCAAGGTGACAGGCATGAAAAATGCGGCCTGTGGTCAGTTGCTTGAGCTTGTATGTGTATTCGTGGACATATTGTTGTAGCCTTAGTATTCGGCTGATCAGCCCTGTATCTTTCTGCTTCCCTCTGGCACCTTTATTCGGTAGCGAGCAGAGTATAGGCCAAAAGGCTGTGTGCTGCCAATGGGCTACCATTCAGCAGCGATCGCGAGGCAGCATTGCTACTGATAGACTCATGTGTTGCCTCTTCGGATGCAGCGTGCTCCAGTTCAGTGATTCCAATTGCCATGTTGCCAAACGTGACGGGTAGTCTTCAGCCGCCACTACTCATAACTTATAAAATACTGGGGTTGTAAATGACGGTGACATATCAGAATGTAGTACGAATATTTGTTAGGAGACCAATTGTACTGCATGATTACTGCAAGCTCGCTCCCCCGAACACCAGCGGAAGCTGCAATTTCACGCAGATGAAGCCGTACAATGCATTAAGGTGATAGCTTTGAATGTCTCATCAAAAGCGAAAATTCATCGCCGGAGGCGTCCAGCGTCTTCTCGCGCCGGGTATGTAAACACGAGTGATGCAGGATGTCATCATTACGTGAAAACGCCATCTTACGACGTCACATATCATAAATGTTTGTGACATATCGGAAAGTCGCATAACTTGACGGCATCATATAACATCTTCGCTTGGCTAAAATGGGCTGATCATGAGGGCAGTGTATAACCAGCTGAGGGGCAGAAAGCTAGCTTTGTCTCTAATCCTTGAGGCAGTAAGAAAACCATGTTGGGCGCAGAAATATCCTGGAGGGAAATAGGAAACATTTAGTGCATTGAATCGGAAGAAAACAAGGACTGCTTTCGCCTTTCAGTCATCTAAAGTTTCCAAGGAAATCTTAGTGGAGTCTGTCGAAAAAACTTGAAGTTATTATTTCCAGATGCCGGTGCCGTGTTCCCCCACTGAATTTTTGTTTACACATACATGGTCTGACAATATCCCCTCTTTGTCCGTTCTGCGAAGAATCGGAAACTATTGAAAATCATTTTGTCTCATGTCATAACTACGCAGTAAGGAAAAGACTTCTAGCTAACCCGTTTGCGAAGCTAGGTTTAAGTTCAACCACAGAAACTGTTCTAAATTTTGGTGCCTCCGTTCCGGGAGATCGCCACAGAGATTTAGTTGATGCGGTGTGCAATTTCATTGCAGACACTAAATGTATTTCAACATAAAGCCCACTTTAGCAAATACTAAAAAAAAGAAGAGTTGGAAAGTAATTTTCAAAATGTCAATATATACGAAACTTACATTCCGAAATAATCAGGTTTGGTACACTCAGCTGTCTGGTCGGCTCCCAAAATGAAGGTATTATTAATATATTAGTGATATTTTTATTTTATTTTCTCACTCTCTAAATCTTTGTTTTTTTATAATGTTTTCCTTCTACCTATTTTTGTTTTCTTTTTTTGTAAGCAATAGTGCAGTTACCGTCTATAGGATACTATACGTTTTGAAGAAGAATGGCGATTTGGGCTAGTTGGTTTGAATTCATAGTAATAAGGGCTGCAGCGCGAGCACGAATGTGCTAGAAGAAACAGACAAAGTCGAGGTACGGAAGGCAAAAGAGGACAACACGAGCGCTGTGAGCGATATGTTTTCTTGGCCGATCCCCCAGAGTATGTATGTGCCATGGATTCCAGGCTATGAACAAACAATCAAATCGTTTCAGGTGAACCCATAGGAAGACCGGTGAGTTTTTTTTTTTTGTTACTAATGAGACATGAGAAAAAAAGGCAATGTGTTTTTTTTTCGTCAGATATTCAGAGTGGTACACAGCAGTATATATACTGAGGCATTCAAATAACGGGGTTTCAATAGCTTGAAAAATGAAATAAAACGCTAATGCTATAAAACTCGAACACATATATCGAACCGGTAGCACGGCCTGACAGAGCCCGGTGAAAAAAGCGCGCCGCAGTGTTCATGTTACTTTTCGTCCTCCTTGCATCCGTGAAGCCGTTAAGAATCGCTACTGCAAATTAACTCGCATGAAAGCACGAATATGCGAACTTCCTAATACGTGCGGCCGTTCAGCGCCAGCATTCCGTAGTCTACTCACGCAGCGCCACTATGCGGCAGTGGCGAGCGGAGGAGAAGCGGGCGCTCGACGGCCTGAAGAGAGCGTTCGCCCGGGCACTGAAAAAAATAGAGGAGACGCTGATCAGGTTAAAATTGATCACCCTAGCACGGGCACTAAGGACGGCCAGGATTTATGAGGTGAGGTCTTGAGCCTTAATTAGCTTGTTCATTTCCTCTTGGCAGAAAGGGGGACCGGTGAGAGCACAGCCCCACGGGACATGGTCGAAGTTCTCATAACCACCACACAAGAGGTAATCAGACCTTCCGAACCGTTCCGAGTATGCTTTGCGCAGCGCCGCAGGGCTAGGGTAGGTTCTTGTTTGGAGCAGTCTGAGAGCCTGAGAACAGCGTAAGACAAATCTTTTTAAGTCCACCCGTACTGGAAGGATTCTAAAAGTTCTTGCGGGGGCGAGTTCGTGAGGAAATAAGCTATTTTAGTGACTCCATTTCATAGCTACTGTAAAAAGTGTTGCAGGGCTTCTAGTGGCCGCTTGGCAGGCATGCATAGTCACTGCAACAGGAAAGTTCTATCGCGCGAAGTAAGGCTGGAAACTTGTGATTTAAAAAATAAAAAATGAAGGTAAATACATGTCTTTTTCGACATTGCTGAGGTCGTTAGACAGCTGATGCTTGTTGATTACAAAGGCACTACACGCGATAATTGACATTAAAAGATTCGCAAGAAACTCTAGTACCGTCGTGCACTTGCTCTCCGTACAACGTCCGGCGCATCTCTCTCTTTTTTTTTTTTTACAGGGCGCACTAAACCCACTGAACTCTAATGCATGGAGCATTTTGTTTTCAGGCGAACATTCTTACCCGTGGCTGCAATCGGTGATGGAGCGGAAAGCTGAAGATACCCCGCTGCAGTTTATTTGGGAAATGTCTGTCCGAATAACCAATTAAAGCCCTTCGGTACATTAATTTCTGCACACGTAGATAACTTCATTCCCCTCTCTCACACATATTCTCTATTACTTGTCTCTCTTCTCTAAACCATTTGTAGGGTAGCAAACCTAAAGCTTGTCTGGTTGACTCCACTGCCTTTATCACTCGGTGGTCTATCTCCTTCTGTGTCAAGCAGAACAATGACGTTCTTTTTTTAAAAAAATTACAGGATGAACTGGTTCTGCTTGTGATATTGGTGCCTACTGTGTGCGGATAAATATGGCTCAATAGTCTCGGTGATTTTGCCACCTAGTGTAGTGTAATTATCAGAATGCCCTGAAAGCCATGGTTAGACTTGTGGTCGACCTGTCTCGGTATGAATCATAAGGTACGTTCTTCATAGGGTAGGTAGCTGTCCGAATAATGCCATATCGGTGCACCATATAATATTTTCGTAGCTCCCCTACGGATACACTTCTTGAGGCACTCCAACAATTCCAGAAGTTTCATTACGAAATCTATACATTATTGATACAATTTCGATATAATTGCTATATATTTATGTAAAAATCTTATTGGAAAATATAGAATTATGGGAATGACATATCGAATGGTTCAATAGGCTGCGATTGCTTTCATTTTGAACAGGTAATTTCGTTCACCCGACAATAACAGTATAAAAAGGCCGCAAACAAACAAACAAACAAACAAACAAACAAACAAACAAACAAACAAACAAACAAACAAACAAACAAACAAACAAACAAACAAAACAGTCTCACCTCTATTGTGCTATCACAAATATAAATGTATTACATTATCTGACGTTAGCATTCTCAGACTGAGACGTAAAAATCCAGAAGCGCCTCTTACGGCCAATACTTGGCACATCATCAACAGCATAAGTCACGGGTGTCACAACATCTAGCGTGCCGCAGGCATGACATTAAGGTCCACTGGAACGAGGCTGGGAGGAAAGGTTTTCTATCAAAAAAGCAGTTGTGGGTGGAGGGTACTGTGTAAATAAACATTAGCTAGCGCTGCCAATTGGAAAACTTTACCTATATCTTACAGAAGAGCCATTTATGAATGTGATTTTGCATCGGGATTCCAGTAAAATATCGGTAGTAATCAGCAAAGTGCTTAAAACTGGAAGGCGACTTTTAAATATGGAGAAGTTGTTTGATCGTTATGTATCAACACACCGTGACATCTGAAAATTTCTGACAAAAAAAAAAAAACTTTAAACCAGTCAAGCTTCAGTACCTCGTGAACACAGTTAACAGAAAAAATGGGACGAACAATAGAGAAAAGTCCACGTGCTTGAAGCCGCCGGCGTGAGCTTTCATATCAGTGGGTGCCCTGAATTGCCGTAAAGCGATTTCGTGGACTCTCTAGGGAGACCGCTGATATCACTGCTTCATGCCAAAAGTGAAGAACGAGCTTCCACACTGAGTAAGGAGAGGCACATCGTTATCGTAAAATGCTGCACTACAACTGAAACAGAAGCGTGTTCTCTGCAACATACCAAGCGTAACTGTAGACCTGAATCCGAGGAAGTCTCCTGCAGCGTTGGTTTGCACGTAGCGTAGTGCGATCAGGTTCCCGGAGCTCACGAGACTGTCGCCACGGTCCGAACCACAGTAGAAACCAAGCGAAGGTGCGTTGGCGGTGCCACCGTCAAACACCTCGACATAGTCCTTGCGACGCTCATCAGGCTCGTCGTGGCAACTGCGAATTTTATTTCTGTATCATATTTGTTCGATACCACCCGACCTCTCGGTAGTCAAGGCAGGAGTGGTTACAGTGCAGAGAAGGCTACACTTCTTCCGAGTTAACTGCTTATTACAACAAGAACATAACAACTAAATGCATAAAAACGAAGAAAAGTAATACAAAAAACAATGAGTCCTAAGTTACTCATCTGAAGCAGCAAAGCACATCCACGGTGTTGCACGAACAGTACGATGAAAAATCAATAACAAATAGGTTGGTTTTAAGTGTCAAACCACACCCAGTAGTCACAATTAGGAAACACCTACAAAGAACGATACAGACATTGACATGTTAACTATACAACAAGGTAGTCCAATACATTCAACAAAGTCAGCAGAGTCAACAGGGGCATACAAAAATACAGAGCCTCAAGATTGAGGCTCATGCTACTAATGTTGAGGAATGGGCAAGTCGACTTGTGTTTGTTATGTTTGTACAACGGAAAAGAAAATGCAGGCAATATAGACAACAGGAATGAAGCATTGGCTTCCAACTGCTGAGAGCTGCAAGTATTGGCGTGCGTGCCAGGTAGAGAGAGGGGCAGAGCTCTTCTAATCATCGAAGGCTGGCTGCAGGAGCTTTACTAAGTCACACATATCCCATCACTGTTTGAAGAGCAGGGCTATAGCCATGCAACTTTCGGAAGAGAGTGGTGGCCGAAGAGAATCGATTCTGCTTTCCAAGAATGATTTAATTCCAATTGATTGGTATGGGGGGTTTGACGTCCCCAATTCACCATATGATTATGAGAGACGCCGTAGTGGTGGGCTCGGGAAATTTGACCTCCTGGTGTCCTTTAACGTGCACTGAAATCTGAGCACACGGGCCTACATCATTTTCGCCTCTATTAAAAATGCAAATGCCGCCGACTGGATTTGATCTCGCGACCTGTAGGTCGTTAGCCGAGTGGTGTAGCCAATAGATCACCACAGCGGGCGATCTGATTCCAAGCTTTACTTAGATAAAGCGGAATAGTGTAGGCAAGCCGCTGTGCAAAACGCATCATTGCTTAATTTTTCGGCTTTTTTTTTTCATCGATTCTAAAGTTTTTTTTTTCGGAGTCAACTAATATGAGTGAGGGACTCCTCAGGTTAAAAAGCACCAGGTAGTCTCCATTTCCGGAGCTCTACACTACGGTGACCTTCATAACCACAAGTTGGTTTTGGGATATGAAATATCCACAATTATTGTTAGTAATATTGGAGGAGCGGCAAAACACGCCAGCCTCTAAAGAAGCTACCTGCGCACCTCTGTCGTTGGAAGTCAGCTTTATGCTCCTTTTAGCCGTCTCGGATATCTCCCTTTTACCTCATAATCGACTTAGATGCTTAGTACAAAAATTATACGTGAGACTACCACGCTAGTGTGAGCGCCGACGCTCTTTGCCTAGAGCTTGTTCAGCGACATTGTCCGGTGTTCCTCTTCCTCTTTCCCCAAGAATGCTTACATTGACCAGTTCAGCCTAAGGCAATGGTCGCTCTACACCGGTTGACCACACAAGATAAGCGTGCGTCACCAGTGATGGCGCCGCTGCTCACCCGTGGCGCATGTGGAAGGAGTCGGGGAAGTCCACCCTGATGCGCGACCTGGATGGACCCATGACGGTCCAGTCGCAGCTGACTGCGTGTGCGGGCGCGCCGTGAGGATAGCCCGGCGATGTTAGTTCACGTGTCTTGACCTCCCGGCTCAACCGGATCGGGCCACCGCACTCGATGCCCGATTCCTCCCACCTCAGTCGGAATTGCTACGAGAAAAAAACAGCAGGCGTTGAGTTGAGTGACACAAATTATGAATATTCCTGAATGAGAGTCGAAAAAATATCGGGCCTTTTCGACATTTATAAGAACACTCGCAGTAAAAGAACGGCATCATATAGGCAAGTTCTAAGATGTGCTGAGTTCACTTCTGAAGTCCTTTTCTTGATATGCAAGGATTTTACATGCGTCTTTTCACTATTGCCGTTTCTATACATGCGGATTTCGCGATGCTCTTTTAGAGAATGCTGTTACGGGGCTGCTATTTGTGTACTTATGCACCCCTACTGAAAGGCTTAATCATACGTGGCCTGCTTCAATGACAGCAATTTTAATTTTTTATTCTCCCATTATTTATTTCAAAACCCTCATTTGTCATTCTGAAAACTCTCAGATAAATTCAGAAGTAAAAGTCCTCTTGAGGATCTTGGCAATGCAATACTTGGATTTGGTAGCTGAGATACCATTAGCGAATAATTGTCAGTTCATCTCATTCTAATTACATTTCTTGATTCTTAACACCAGCGAAATTTATTGTGACCTGATTATCTACAACTGCTCACGTCAAACCTATACCGCTTCGTGTTGCTACAACCTTGTCGCACCACAGCTTAACATCTTCAAGTCATTGCGACCTGAGGACCTACAATTGCTCAAGCCAAACTTCTACCGCTTCATGCTGCACGCTTTTACCTTGTCACACCACAGCTTTGCTGTTAAAGAACATACATACGCACCGCATTTCCCGCTCTACCGGGTGTTTCAAGTAATCTGTTCAATATTCTCAAAAGGGAGAAATATGCGAAACCTTTTATATGCCATTGACAATTACTTCTTAAGCAGCCGAAGCCATCTTAACATGGCCGAAGAAATCACTTGGAAAAATGAGATTTAAATTTAGCAAGTTCTTAATGAATGGAAAAATATCATTATGCTAAATGAAAAAAAAATGGAAGCCCTTCAAGCGATTAACCCATCGCTGCTTTGAGATTTCGAAGAAGCAACCTATAGTAATATTGGTGAAGTAATGTATTTAACCAAAATTGAGTGGCGAAACCGAAACGCAAAACGGCGTAACAGCCGCATTTTTCTGAGACGACCAGAATGAGTGAGCGCTGTTATATCAACTATCAGCCGAGTTGAATTCTTCGAGTGAGTGTGTGGTATACATTTGTAGTTAAAGCATCCCTAGGAAAAATATGGCAATGAACACGGAAGAATTACATGTCTGCAATCGTGGTTTTAAACAAGGACATCATTCTGGTATTCTGCTTGTTGCATTCATCGGTGTTTTAGTTTCGCAGTTAATTTTGATTGAATATTATTACGCCGCAGTAGTTAGTAGAGCCCACTTCTATATCTCAGAGCTTCGACTTTGTATGAAGAACTTTATTTCTGCTATTGACATAACCACCTATATCAAATTGTTGAAAAGTTAATCAGTTGAAATTTCTTAATTACTGTCCCAAAAGATGACCGTAACCATCTTGAGACGCCTGCAGCTACTATAGAATTAATTTCGGAGGGATCTATAAATATCACCTTTCGCTGTTTTTTTAGAATTGTGGACACATTTCGTGAAGTACGCAGTCTAGTATAATGGATACTTATCAGTGTATGTATTTGCGGGTCGTTAAAGAACACGCACAAACGAGTAGATATGCAAGACACAGGAACAGCTTTCTTGGATCGCTACCCACATGGTGCAATATGTTGACAAACATCACCTGATTTCTACAGATACCAGCGGAGACGCTATTCCTCTCACAATTAATTTCTTTTACCGAAACAGTGAATTCACTGAGTGCATATATTTTGAATGCCAAATAGCTGTGTTTCTATTAGTTAACACTGCCCTATACAGATGATAAAAGATAGAATCGCAGCATATCCAATGCGCGATTGATGATCAGTGGGGCAAAGCGTCCATCCATCCGTCCGTGCTACCGCCTGCCTGTGCACGAGTTCATCCATGCATCTGTCCGTGCATTCGTTTGTCCGTATGTCCGTCCGTACTTACGTTCGGGAGTCCATCCGTCCATCCGTGAGTCCGTCACTGCGTCCGTCCATCCGTCTGTCTGTCTATCTGTCTGTCCGTCCAACCATCCGTCCGCCCGTCCGTGTGCTCCTATCACACTAGAACACGCATCGTACAGATGGACGCTTCGCCCCACTGATCATAGTTCACTCCATAGATATGCTGGCTATGCAGAATGGAAGGGCGACAGACCAGGTGATGGTATAAGAAGCTTCGCCCCTAAAATTAAACCGTTTCCCACTAAAGGGAACCATGAGTGGTGTGCGAAGCAGCGCATGGGTCGACTTGTAGTTCGATTGCGATTAAGGGCCCTTGCCTGATGTTAAGGCGTCCTTGCAAGTGAAGCACACCATCAACTCACTGTAGTTTCTGTTGCTGTTACTCGCTCTGAATTTTTGTTAAAGCACGCAACGCGGGTCATCGCCACGCCACGCGAGAGCTTGTGCGTCTTCGCGCATCCGCTGAATCTCGTTCCCCAATGCCATCATTCGATCGCTGAGTGTTAAGAGGAGAGGCCGCAACCTCTGATACTGCAGCCATTTAAGTAGGACATAACGTGCTAGCGCGTTTCAGCGCATTCTGACTAGGATATAACGCCCTGGTTAATCACGCATCTGCAGAATCTCGTCTCTCGACGCCGTCACATGATTGCTGAGAGTGCGTAAGGGGAGAGGCCACATTATTTTACGCAGCCCCTCACGCAAGTTGGAACGCGCAATCGCGCGAGGGCGTTCTGGCAGTGCTTGGGCCAGCTGTGGCGCATGCGCAGTATGGGTGGTCATGCCACACACCACCCTATTGAACTCCGCCATTGACAGTTTCGCATCTAAAAAGGACGAAATACAGAAAGTTTCGTCGGCATCAAGCTTTAGCTCTGGAGGGGCACCAAGTAGTGCATCTTAGTGGTCATTATTGGCGCAAGGTAGTTTTTATTAGGCTTGTGATTACTTACACTTTCTAAAAAAGCACGCTTGCATACAGTATAGTGGCGAGAGCAGTATAACTAAGCAATTTGTACGAGCGTGCGCTGACCACAGGAATTTGAAGCATGAAGAATAGGATTAATAGCCGGCCAACACACAAAACAGTTGACACAACAATGATTCTGCTCAAAGTGGACAGCAGACTTGACAGGACTCTGCGAATACGATAGCAAGTTGACAAATTAAGGATAGCTTAAGCAATCTGCTTGGCTGTTGACTGTCGACTTATCTTCGATTGCTAGTCCTCAATTCATGCAAGATGACGTACTCCTTTCTGCGGACTGTTGCGGCGGTAGATGATGAATGCTGTTGCTGACGACGTCTTGGGGAGTTCCTGGACCCTCGACGAGCTGCCACAGAACTTGCCCTGGCCAAGCGGAGGCGAGTCACTCTGTCCTCCATTGAGAACCTGCGAAGACAAATGAAATGATTGCCCCTACAGTGATTTATCCCGATTCGGAGAAATTGTTCACAGATATATGTAGCAGTTACACAGCACAGAACTTAATTTCCGAGCAATGCTGACTGGCCACTTTTCGCACCTGAATGAAGGTGTTCCTGCAAGCCCCACCGTCGGAAGGGAGGTTGATGTTTTCGATGGTGATCTTCAGCGGAACCCTCCTGTCAGAACTGATGCGCCAACGACACTGCATCTCCGAGTCGAGGATGTCGCTCTCCTGGATCACGCCTGATGGCTCGGTGATGTTGCCGCCGCACACTGCACCGATTGCGTCGAGGTCATTTACATCTTCTCCTAACTAGCAGCGTGGTCTAGTTGAAAAGTTTGAAGAACATTCACTGCGTATACGAGACTGAAATTAAGTTGTAGTTGCAATGAGTCAAGCCATAGTTAAAACAGCCGAATATACTAGCCAGCTGGTGAGCGCCTTAAAGTTTCCCACTACAGTTCGACAGAGGAAATGATTATAAATGAAACAAGAGAAAAGTGAGCCCCGTAATTGTCTCTCAGGGGGAGAACACCTCAACATTAGCTCACGAGAGATGGGGGTAGAGAAGGGATTGGAGGGATAGGATTAAAAGGTAGAGAGATAGAGAGAGAGTAAGGAGAGAAGGAGGCGCAGGGACAGGGAGCGACAGAATTAAGAGTTCGACAGTGTTATTCACAGAAGTATATTTCATTAAGGTTAAGTGACCATCTTGTTTGAATATGTCCCACATTTCACAAAGGAAACACCACTAGTAGTACCCGGTAGTCTTCTTGATAGCACTTCTAAAGGGTATGGATGTCGGCCACCTCGTAAATCAGAGCCGTGATGAAGCGTTGCCTTCATATGAGAACTAAGTGCTGACGCAAGGCCGAAGAAAGACGAGAATGAATTAAATAGGGCGTTTCCCGTCCTGCCGACAGGGAGAGGCGAGGGCCTGCTTGATTTGAAACCTTCTCCCCTGGATGATTACGCTGTTGAATCTTGGAAGCCAAGAAAAAAATTTGCTTGATGACGTTTCGCTCTTTGTGCGTAATGGTTATTTACACATGGTGAATTCCAGCAGTATTCTTGTCAACGCGATAGTGGAGCTGTTAGTGAGATCTGCCTAAGATTACCGATACGGAAAGCATTGCCTCTCGCCTTTCGATATGTTCAGGAACTTCCTTCCTACCACTCCCTTTCATTACTGATGGCTCTGACTTAAGCACAAGTTTTTCACTGAGTCCGAAAACAAACTTATTAGTTATTTATTTGCACAACTTTCAAAAATTGCTTCCTCTTGTTAGAGACTACTGACCGGAAATTGCAACCGAATAATTGCGAAGCTTCAGTTGCATGAAGCAGAGAATGCAGCAGTTATTACAGCTTGGACAAAATGATTTCGGACAGGATGTTTGCACTGCACGTTTTACACTCCACTAGACCATAATGCACGCACCTGACTGGAAGCTGGCCGAGAATCCTTTGCCGACCACTTCGCTCCTACTGGCGTCGGTGCTCCGAAAGCGAAGCAACATGAATCTTGTCGAGCTGAGTAGAGGGGCAGGCAAGTCAGACTTCGCTATTTGTCCGCAGATGCTTCGCAGATTGCGCTGCTCAGCTGCTGCCGTCGGGTCCACTGTAGCGAGTCAAGACAAGAAATATTGAAGGTTGTCGGTTTCAATGTCACTCAGCACACTTTTCCTACAAGACGTGGTAAGGATACCTTTAGCGTAACGCCGATACCGTCCAAATTTAGCAACCTGTCTGACTTTCGGGAAAACAACAAATAATGGGACAAGAGAGCCACCGAAAAGAGATTTATTGAATATTTAAATTACTTCGGAATTATAAGGTAATATTATGTATCATTACCTTCCAATGTAAAAAAATCAGGAGACTCCGACACCTTGCTTTCAAGTCCTTTTGATGTGCAAAATTATCCAACGTATAAATAATAGTAGTTACCAAAACTTTTGTTTTTAGAGTGACTATTGCTAACATTGTTTTACTCTTTTATTTACACCAATTCTCCGTCGTTTTCAACGAGATCACGAAGTATGCTAAAAAAATGTCGACAAGACGAAGTATGAACAAACCGTCATAGACGTTGATGTAGTCGTAGAAGCAGTTGTCTACCAGTTCCCAGCTTCTCAGGTCAACCACGTTAAAGCTGATTTTTGATACACGTCTTGAGGGCGCCACTAGAGACCAGCTGCAGTTCAGGTAGTCGGTGTAAGACTCCGGAAACCCCGGTGAGGTGATGTTGGTAACGGAAGTCGCATTATCCAGTTCAATCTTGAAGTTGCACACAGATCCTACGGACATTACAAGAGGTGAAACCAGGTCACATGAGAAATCTGAGAACGCCGGCGGTCAGATAAACAAAGAATATTGATTATGCATTTAGGACCCTGTATTTTACCACGTGCTGGAACATTAGTGTTTTCAGCTGTAGTTAAGTATTGCGATGACATCACTTACACCTAGACTGATAAGACACACAGATCAATTAAAAACAAATTAAACTGCATGACAGCAGTTTTGCCATTACAAAACGACAATCTAAACTTTTCAGCGCACGACACAAAGTCGACACGAAATTTCAAGCTTTCGCCGATCACAGACACGGCCACTAAATCCTTCATGTCGGTTCAAAAAGCTTTTTTTTTTTTAATTTTGTGATTGCTCCTTCTAGGTTTTTCATTTGAGCAGCACATGTTCTTTTTTTTTTTTGCCGTAACACCAGTCGTATTGGCCGGCAAAAAGAAAACCTCCTTACTCCCTTTTTTTACACTTGAAGTAAAGTTGCTTGGTCAAACGTCAGTGTGCTAACTCTAAGCCCAAGAAAACCCTCCATTTCCAGCACGAAACTATATTCTTGAACATAAGGACAATCCGCATTGCTTTTCAGTTACAATATCTCAAGGACAGCGCCTCCTCACCAGCGTTGCCTTGCTCCATGCTCGGCAGGTAGCTGCTGTTCACGGCCTCCCAGCGCATCTTCCACTTTGCGTAGCCACCAGCTGACTCGAACCGAAGCTGCACGTGCGATGAGCGAAGCACCATGGGATCGGGCTTCCTGCTGCTGCAGTACTTGGCAGCCTCGGGTGAGCCCTCGTCGATGCCGTCGATGAGCTTAATGCAAGGAAGCAATTATTTGGTCCGCAATCCAAACCTCAGCTTATAAGCTTTTCTTTTCTGTAGCTGTAGAAAATACTATAACAAAGCAGAAGACTGAATGCGTGTTTTGGTTCACTATAGAAGCGCTAACTAACTGCCAACATATCTTATTCTTCCTCTTTAAGATAATGATTTTTAATTGTCACTGTTTTACTGCTTTAAATACAGCAGTCACTACCTAAATGATGTGTCTGTTACGACAAACTGAGTTCGTAGTGTCGTAGGGTGCATTATTATTTCCACTAACACCTATTTACTTGAAACCTTGCAGTTAATATTATTGTTTTTTGCCACTCATAACATTCGTGATTGGCACCTGTTCCTTACACCTGTTCGAGTGTTCTGGCACCTATATCTTTCATTGCATCTTCTTCACGCCTCTTTCTCATCTTTCTTGTCCCCTTCCCTAATCCCCCAGAGTAGGGTAGCCAACCGGATGTCTTTCTGGTTAACCTTCCTGCCTTCTCCTTTTTGTTGCTTCCTTCCTTCCTTCACGCAATACACGGTCATTTGATCCTCTAAATATTGGGCCCATTATATCAATAAAAATTGTTTTCATCTCCTTTTGTTTGTTTTTCGTTTTTCTGCAAAACGTGAATTTTTGTAATTAGCCTTTGGGTATCAGCGCACATGCGGTGCTCAAAAACAAATAAAAATAATTGCGTAAACACGTATTTTGGTAAATTATATTTTTGCAATGTGCTGAAAAATTTGTATATACAACTGCTATGTCTCGGAAACTGAGATGGCAGTTATTGTAAATAAGTAACATTAAAACATGCTGCTACCACGAACGCTGCTTCGGCTTTTCGGGAAACCTTTTTTTTTTTCAAAACTCAAGCTACAAGTTTCTATGCCCACCAATTACCGAATCTTGATCCTACCTACCCAACCCCTTCCGCGCGCCGCGCCGCCGCCGGTCCGGTGAACACCGCGCCGTTGAGCAGCGGAAGGTGAAAACACCGGTGCGCCACTGCCGGCAATTTCGGCACCGACGCACAGGTCTAGCGTCAACGCCACCGTTAATGAAAGCGTTAGCGGCAGCTTCTTCACATCTACACATGGTTTTCTTCAGCGGGAGATAGTGCATTTTTTTTTTATCTGGCGTGCTCACGGCTCGTAGCACTGCCGCGTTTGGCACGTTGCTTGTCGTGACATTCTCAATTAGATGCTCGTGTTTACCTAAATGTTAAAAACTATGTGAGGTAGTTTAAGGTACCCTCTAATTCATAGCGTTCGTTGTGCTCAAAGATGGTTTTATTATTTTAGAGGGTATATCATTACAGTTTGATACAACTATATTGTTAGGGAAGGCTTATGCCGTAAAAGAAAAAGAGGGTGGCGTGCTCTTCAATTTGGCATTTTGGTATTGCGGCCACGCTCTTGATTTTAGATTAAGTACTGAATTTTGTATCATCCCCAGAAAAATATCATTGATAGAGGTGTGGCGTACATACGAGGTGCGCTACGGAACAACAAAACGTACCATCTTGTGGTTTATTTCATGATGTCTATATTGACAGAGGCGCTGGTAATTGGCCTCGCATAAAAAACAACAACTTTAATAGACCATTATGCTGGCCTCATTATATAGGTCGTTGATTCCCAGCTCTGAGGTCCTGGCACTCACTCCAGTGTACTCAAGCCCGGTGTGGAAGAGTGCCTCCCGGAATATGACTGAGGCTGACATAACTGTTCGACGGCTGACATAATCTTCACCCTCAGTACAATCCTTGTTTAGTTCCACATACGTGGAAGAACTGATTATAACTAGGAGAACTTAGAAAAAAACCTGAAGGAACCTTCCTGCAGAAGCCATGAGCCCCGGCAATCCTGAAAACAAGGAACTCCTGTGCTGTGCGTGGACATTAGGGCAAAACAAACTGATTCTGCACGCGTCTTTCACAAAACTTTGTTCGAGACAGGTCACGGTTGAGCCATTGGATTAAAAGTTTCTCAACATATCTCTATAGCTTACCACTAAGCCAACAAATGGGGAGAATTATTTATGAACCAGTTTAGTTTTGTTTCCTATTGCGCCTGTTGTTTTTATGCCCATTCAATGAACTTGTAAGAAAGACGCTCGCCACTCATAGTCACGTACAACGAGGCTGCTGGTCCAGCACTCCTCCGTGAAGAAAATGGTGTCCCAGCTGATGCGCGGGTACAGGTCGTCGGGTACGTGCAGCCGCCACGTGAAGGTTCCCAGCGACAGGGCGTCGTGCGGGTACAGCGGCGACTCGATCACGCCCGACGTGCCTTCCAAGTCTACGGTGCGCACTAAACAGAAGAGAGCGGGCACGGATCACACATGGCACAGCAACCGCGTGATTCCATGAGAGCATTACGCGCAGGTATGAGGCTTATGTTATTGTTAAAGAGGAAACATTGACGGAATGTGAACGTATGACAAAAGAAAGTTGCAAAACCTTCGAACACTTGTGAGATGCAGAACATACTTCAGTACGTAAAACCTGTCACGTGTCTACACAATAAACCTACGTATGAATGTCTACTCAATAGAGAGTCAAGTCACTTGAAAAATATAGAGTCCGTTCAAGACAAAGTACAAGATGAAGGTGGTACCGGTCTATGCGCCTACATCGAGCCATGATGATAGTTTGGTTTAATGCTTATATGAAGACGTAAAATCAGCCACTAATAGAGTAAAGACACTGTATACTATTCTGATGGGCAACATTATTGCCAAAGTAATTAGTGTAAATAATGTCAAAGTAATTAGTAATTAATGCTAAAGTAATTAGCCAAATATATAATACCAAAGTAATGCTATTAATGCCAAAATAAACAGGCCGAAGATCATGCAGTGGAAGAATATGACATCGTCTTTAGAATTGTCAGAGAGGAGGTATTAGTAGAGTTCACAGAATGTAATAGTATACGGATCTTGAATACCTTCTTCGAAAAACGGGCTAACCGTAAGTGGACGTGCCGAAGTCCTATTGGCGAAACCAGAAATGAAATAGACTTCATTCTGTGTGCACAACCAGGCATTGTACAAGATGTAGAAGTAGTTGGTAAGATGCAATGCAGTGGCCATAGAATTATAAGTGCTCGTATTCCCCAAGATTTTAAAAAGCAAAGGCATAAACTGGTACGCAAGGAACACTTTAAAGAGCTAGCAGTGCGAAGGAAAGTACAAAATTTCCGCATTTTGCTTCAGAATAGATTTGAGGCTCTGAACGGGGTAACCGGCGTAAGCGTTGATACACTGAGCGATAATCTTACTAGTCTCATCAAAGAGCGTGCAATAAAAGTCGGAGGCGTAGAGTTTCCTAAAATTAACTAGAGGGGGCTCTGTCACTGCGATCGTTCAGCGACCATGGGAATGATAGGTAGTACGCACATTTGTCTAGTCTTCGTACTTGCGGATGGCAAATCGTACTTGCGGCTTTGTTTATTGCTGTGTTTCGGTTTTGTTTTGAAAGAAAGATTCAAACATTTTGAACTTCGTGACCTGATTTGGAAAGGTAAGCCTAAAAAATAGAGTGGTGAAGCGCAACCGCTGAACATTTGCTGATTTTTGTTTCGTGAAAAAACAGCTCCTATAGCCACACGAACTCACACGGAGCCGAAAGCAGACCAGAAGTATGATTATTAGACAAATGTGTGTACTACCCATCATTCCCATGCTCGCTGAAGCGCCGTGTGTTGCAACTCCCATAGACACTAGCGCCAGAGTTCCCTCTAGTGTATATTCGGAGACTCTATGGTTGGAGGTACATCACTAGACAGAAAACTGGCAAACTATCTCAGGAGAAAAAAATCTCATTACGAGAGGATAAGCCTTACTAGCCCCAAAGGCAACTGGCAAAAAACAGGCAGTGGTGGTTTCAAAGTTAATGAACAGGCGTAAGGTAGCTGGCATCCGAGGATATAACGTGTTGGGGGTTGAGCAGGCTGCAAAAAAGCGGCAGAGGACTAAAAGCTGCGAAGGCAAACTTGTGAATAGGTAAAAACTGGATGTATAATCATAATAATTCACCAATTAACCAAAAGATCAAGCAGGATTTCGAATAGGCTACTGCAGAGTAGACCACATTGATACACCAATCAGATAATGGAGAAATGTGCGGATTGCAACCAACCCCTATACCAGCCTTTATAGATTACCAGAAAGCGTTTGACTCAATCGAGACATCAACAGTAATGCAGACACTACGGAATCAGGGCATCGAGGAAACCCATACATAAACATACTGGAAGAAATCTACAGTGGCTCCGCAGCTGCCATAGTTCCCTATAAAAAAAAAGCGACAGAAACAGATACCAAATAAACAAGGGTGTAAGGCAGGAAGACACAATCTATCCAATGCTAGTCACCGCGTGTTTACAGGAGGTTTTCAGGGCTCTAGATTGAGAGCAGTTAGGAATAAAAGTTAATGAAGAGTATCTTAGTAACATGCGACCGCTGATGACATTGCCTTGATGAGTACCCCATGGTAGGAATTGCAGCTCATGATTACAGAACTGGACACGGAAAAGAGACGAGTAGGTGTGAATAAAATTTGCAACTAAACTAAAGTAATGTGCAACAGTCTCGGAAGAAAAGAGCGCTTTGCGATAGGTGAAGAGACACTGAAAGTTGTAAAGGAGTATGTCAACTTGAGACAGGTAGTAACCACGGAGCCGAAGCATGATAGTGAAATAACTAGAAGAATAAGAATGGGGTAGATCATATTCGCAAGCATTTTCAAATAATGAATGGTGATATGTTATAACGCTCAAGAGGAAGGTATATAACAGCTGCATCTTGCCGGTACTTAACTACGGAGCAAAAATTTGTGGGCTTAAAAAGGGTTCAGGTTAAATTAAGGAGCGAGCAATGAGCGATAGGAAGGAAATGAATAGGTGTATCTTTAAGAGATAAAAAGAGAGCAGAGAAGGTCAGGGAACAAATAGGTGTTAAGGAGATCATAGTTGAAATTAGGAAGAAAAGGTTATGAGCCAGGCACGTAGCACGTAAGCAGGATAACCACTGGTCATTAGGGTAACTAACTCGATTCCCAGAGAAGGCAAACACATGAGGGGGAGACAGAAAGTTCGGTGGGCCGATGAGATTAAAAACCTCGCAGAGATAACGTGGTAGCAGAAAGCCCACGATCGGGTTGATAGGTGGCTCATGGAAGAGGTCTTTGCCCTGCAGTGGGCGTGTTCAGGGTGGTGATGATGATAATCGAGTGGTGTATAAATATTTACACAGCTCGAAAAACTTTGTTTAACTAAGTTCATTCATGACAGAGTTTCCTCCAGAATATTTAGCGAGAGTTTATGATTGCGTGAAGCCAATTTGGAAATGATTGACGCTAACTGGTAGACTCATTATACAGTTGAGAGATATGTTAAACCACCAGCTCGTAATTATGTTTCGTTATTTGTGTCTGGAACTGATATATAAGAAAGGTGTCAATGTCACCTAAATCTGCTTATTCGCTTGGGATCATGTGGTGATGTCATCCTGGAATCATGGCAGGATTCGATCATAAGCTCCGGATACGAAGCAATCTTTTGATCATGTCAGTTTTTTGTTTTTTTTTGTTTTTTGCAAACGAGTCTTTACACATTTAACTGACGCATGACATATTTTTTGTTTTATGAGTGATAGAAAGCTTTCACTTTGATAAATGTACACATGTACTTAAGGGTGTGCATTCTCCACTGTGGAACCATCGTTAAGGTTACTTGTAGCGCATTTTCGGTTTACAGGCCAGGAGCGGCAGATAGCATTACTTGGCCGCCCTTGATTTTGTGTTATGAGTGTACACACACAAATTGACATTGAGCGAGATAATTTATTCTGCGTTCGTGATTACCACATGAGCATCTCAATTGAACAATTTTGTGTATCATTTGGCCGCAAAGTGCTCCCGAATTTTCAAGTAACATATCTAATAAACTTTCCAAAGGGACAATTTTGCGTGTATTGACGCAATGAAATTATCACTACACATATTTGCCAACAGAGAGGTTCACAAAGAGGGTTCAAGTTAAATTGAGGACGCAGCTAGCGATTGAAAAAACAGAGACAGGTGTAATCCTAAGCGACAAGAAGGGTAGAGTTGATCAGGAAACAAAAGAGTGTTAAATATGTAGTTACATCAAGAAAAAACATGGGCAGGGCATGTAGTGCGTATGCATAGTAACAGCCGCTCATTAATGGTAACTCACTGAATTCCAAGAGTCGGAAAACACATGTCGGGAAGGCAGAAAGCTAGGTGGACCGATGAGATTAAAAAGTTCGCACGTATAACGTGGCAACAAGAAGCACAAGACCGGGTTGATTGACGGATCATGGCATCGAGAGGCCTTTGCCCTGCAGTAGGCGTAGTCATGCCGATGATGATGATTATAATATTTGTCGATATGTCGTAATCGTAAACAGTTGCTTTTTTCTCCTTTCAAATTTCATGCATGACGAAGGAGTGGTTTGCAGTAATCCTATCCTAATGATGGACAATAAAAAAATGAAGAAGCATATTTCGGAAAGTTTTCGTACTTGTGGCGAAGTGCGCCGAGAATCCAGCAGCTACGTCCGTGTCGTCCGAGTGGAATTTGAGCCAGAGTCCGTTGGCGAGCGTGATGTTCATCGGGGTGTCTTCTCCGCAGAAGCGGCCGAGAAGCTTGCCGTGAGCGTTGCGCTCACGGATTTCCAGGTAGTCCTTGTTGCAGAACTCGCTTTCCTCCAGGGAGAACAACCTGCGGCATCGGACCCCGATGTGTAATGCAATTAAAGGGACTATAGTTACTTACTGCACGCCTTCTTCATTCGTGCTACCAGCGCTGAATAAACGGTACGTGAGGGTGCGAAGACATACACGACAATCTCTGATAGTTTTTAGCATGTGCCAGTTTTCTGCACGCCTCATTTATAGTAATACACAATACCTAGTGTTTGGCGTGCCAAAACCGCGATGGTTATGAAGGACATCGTAGTGGAGGGCTGCGGCAGTTTTTGGCCTTCTGGTGGTCTTTAGCGTGCACTGTACCCGTATACAGTGCAGCACGCAGAACGCGGGCCGTTAGCACTTCGCCCCCATAGAAATGCCACCACCGCTGCCACATTACAAAGATAGGTGCTTTCTTTCAGTGCCTTTCTTGTACATTGTAAGGCTTTTGTGGAAATGAAAAAAAAGAGCTTAATTTTTTTTTGCACACACATATGGCAAAGGTGGTTATGCACTTGTTCACGTAGATTTATCACATTAAATATATAAAGAAAAAAATGCTATGTAATAAATGAAAGTTTCGTGAAATAAAACTTTTGAGAAAACTAGGAGTGTCCGAATCCAAACAAATCATTGAGATATCTTTATTTTATATTCCACAAAAGTGCAGGCTGGGCCCAGTTTTGGTGGTCCAAGTTTGGTGTAGTCAAGCGATTTTCGGTTTTTTGAAATACTGCCGACGTGTTCGTGTAAATGAGCGCAAGGTGTCGTATAGTGGAGAACTCCGGAAATTGCGACCACCTCGGGTTCTTTAACGTGCGCCCAAATCTGACTACACGGGCCTACAACATTTCCACCTCCATCGGAAATGCAGTCGCTGCAGCCGGGATTCGATCCCGCGAGCTGTGGGTCAGCATACAGCTGAGTACCTTAGTCACTAGACCACCGCAGCGGGGCACTCTTAAAGGCGAGAACTTTGGGTCCCCTAATTTTTGAGTAACAATATCATCATCACTTGGGCGACTTCTTTGTCTGTATATATCGTGCATAGCGTGGGTCAGCTTGGCATCAACTGGAATGAAGCGGTTGCTCCCAAGTGGTGGTTATACATTCACTTTTTTTTTCTGAGCAGCCTTAAGATGACTGCATATTGTTTTGAAATCTGAAAGTACAACTATTACACAACTTGATCACCGGAATTATAGAATGTAAATTGGGCAAACCAGAACCAAAGCAATTTTTATGCGTTACCTAGTTTTAAAATACGCACGGTTACAGGAGCGTTCACTGACTGGCTATCATTGCATGACACCGCCTTTGTTCCTGACGCGCACTTCCTCTATTTTGAGGTGCTCACCAAGCTACTCTCGACCTCACACGTATTTGGCGTAAAATAAACTTGGTGTGACACATACTGTGATAAACACATGCCTCCACAATAACCAGCATGACATATGGTTCCACAGAAGCCGTGTTGCCTCAAGGCGCACCATTATCTTCGAGTACAAGAACCGAGAACCTAAGTCAACCGATACTTAAAAAAACCGGAGCTGTTTATGCCACCCGTCAGTTATACGAAATCCACGAGCAGAAATTTATTATCACCATGAACCGGCCTCTTGATCATCTGGTGATTCACTTACAGAACAAGCGGGATGATTTGTCCGCGTGAGAGGGTATAACTATGATGAGTAAAAGAATGCGCAAAAATAGAGAAATGCGCCGCCGCGGTGATCTAGTGGCTAAGGTACTCGGCTGCTGACCCGCAGGTCACGGGATCAAATCCCGGCTGCGGAGGCTGCATTTCCGATGGAGGCGGAAATGTTGTAGGCCCGTGTGCTCAGATTTGGGTGCACGTTAAAGAACCCCATGTGGTCGAAATTACCGAATCCTCAACTACGGCGTTTCTCATAATCATATGGTGGTTCTAGGACGTTAAACCTCACATATTAATCAGAAGTACAGAAATAAGAAGATAGAGATAATCGGAGGTAAAGAAATGGAAGAAACACAGAAAAAAATAACAAGAGAGAGAAATAGCCTTAAAAAAAGATGGAAAAAGTTGTCAGGAAGACAGAAGCAGAAAGAAAGAGTAAACTGGAGGGAAACAAGGAAAAGATATGCATAAACGGAAAGAGAGACATATGCAGAAATGAATAACAGGAGGAAGTTGAAAGAAAGAAAGAGGAAGGCAAGAAAAGAGGAGTTGCAAAAGAAAAATAAGAGATAGAAGGGAAGACCAAAGAAGCGAGATATAGTAAGATGTATTCATAGAGAGAAGGAAACAGAAAAAAAGCAGAGAAAAAAAATTACGGCATATTCACGGGGTGAATGATGATGAATGGGCGAAGCTCCGGAGGAATTCATCGGTAAACTGTGAATCTTCCGTGTAATTCGCCCAGTCGATCATCATGTAAAGACGTGAGAAACGCTTTGTGTGTATATACACAAATCAACTTTTATTTGTTCTTAGACGATAGATGGCTTGCGATGTCCCTTCATTATGACGGCTTTATGGTCTGTGAAATGAAGGGAGAGCGGTTCCTGTATGGGTTGCAGTGGGCAATTTGCAAATACTAGGTCTATGCATGTTCCTCGGATCGTGGTAGGTTTCATATGGTCAAACGATATACGTCTGAGTGCATATCTAGACGCCGCACTAAATCGAACGATTGCCTTCAACCAATGACACGCGCCATATGTGACATCATTCCTATTTTATAAGATCTCGCGTCTTTCATCAACTACAAGTACCGCTTTCTAGTTTATAACATCTTGCATCTTTTCATCATCAGCTACAAGTACCACCACCTAGTAAACACTACAAGAACTAAACGAGAGGTGGCTACATACAGGAGACGGTACCGCCATCTAGTGAACACTGCGAGAACTAAACTAGAGGTGGCTACATACAGGGGACGGTACCGCCATCTAGTGAACACTGCAAGAACTAAACTAGAGGTGGCTACATACAGGCTACAAGGGACGCACAGCCCACGCCCTAAGGAGCTTCGCCCCTAAAAAGCAGAGAAAAAGACAGGAACATACAGGGAAGAAGGAAAGAAGCAAATAAACTGGAATGTGAAGGGCACCAGGCTCCGATCATTATGCTTGGCACAATTTTTTAGTTCTGCCGCAAATTATAGTTACTTTTGGTCGACAGCATCTTTGGGTACAGCGCGAGACCGACAAAGACGGCCCTATACCGAAAAATGCTGCCTCTACCAAGTAGCCTAATGTTCAATATTATTGATCGACAGGTAGACATGCTTAACTTTTTCTTACCAAGCGAATGCTGTCGCATATCTAGATACCACCTGCCCAGATGTTTCTATAGAAAAAAGTGAGGAAAAGAAAAGAAAATGCCATTTCCTTTGATGCAAGGATGTTATCTCTGGATCTTAACGTACATATTGAAGCTGAAGTAAAGCTTAGATGCAAAACTTTTTATTAGCCGATTGAGAAATCAAATGAATAATATTAAACCTGAGAGAATGATCTGGAGGTCTTGGAGAGCAAAAAGTATGAATAACAAATTGTTGGTTTCAAAACACCTGCCAAAATAAGGCAAGCTGCTCAACCATTACACGACAAAATAACCGAGGTTTTCACCAACAACTTCTAATGCAGTTATTTCAACTGAATCTAGTAGAGCAACATATGAGTTCAAATATGTGAATAAAATTTAAAGCCAACGATATTGTTGTTACAATTTTTAGGGACCTTCTTTACAAATTATTTCGCTGTTTCAGGGCAAAGGCATGAGGCGGGGGGTGGGGGGCAGGTGTTCCTATGAGTGAAGCTCGAGTCATTCATAGGGGTGCCATGTTTTTCCATATATTTACTCAGTAACACCATCTGTTATTGTTTTCAAAATGAAGGGTTAGGGCTTTGCAGCCTTTTGATAAGAATGCCGGGCGAGGAAGTCTTGTGCTGCTTTTCAAGAACTGTTTACCTTCCACCTTTCCGCCCAGACAGCCGGTTACCGAGGAGGCAGGGTGTTGTAAGAAGCAGGTCATTTCTTCACTTTCATTTCTGCATCCATTGCGAACCTCTTTTTTACAGCTTAAGCTGGTATGAAATCGAATAAGGGGAATGCGCTGTCATAGTTGTCCACCGCCGCCACCGCCACTGCCACCACCGCCGGTGTCCGTAATCACAACACACAATATTGAAAAAAAAAACTTTTGTACCGATGACCCAGTGGGGCTTGAACCCTGGTCCGCTGGGTGCTAGCCCAGTATTCTATCACTGAGCCACGCCGGTACTTCGGACTTGATGGCAAACTTGCCCTAGGTAGGCTTGATGTTGGGAAAGCAATTGCGTTAATATGACATATAAAGCGTTTTGAAACAGGGAAAGCGCCACCAGTCGTCGCACAATGCGAATAGCGTAACAAGCGGGCCGTCCAATGCTCCAACCCATTACAAAAGCTTGTTCTTGTTCCCCTATTAACCATGGCTCATGCCCACTTCAGGCACAATTACTCATCGTCATGAGCTACTGCATGAACAATTGGCACAAAATATCTTGCAAGTGTTTTGCGGATACCACGCTTCTCCGAAGAATGATGAAAAGTAGCATAGCCTATGTCATCATACATACCACACAATTTTTTTATTATTAATGCCGTATAGTGGGTATCAAGCAAGTATTCTTGCAGCAGTTACCGAAAGTGTTTACAAAAAGACTCTGAAAGGCCGCTCTTCTTGCTTTCGCTGTGACTGTGCTGCGCCTTCCGCACAGGCCTAGCGTTTTTTTCATCTTCATCAACGATGGGGGCGTGGGGGCGAGAAAAATGTCTCCTTATCTCTCCTAATCAAGACCACTGCGCACTCCTATAAATGCAAGTCTCCTAGCTGCTCCTTTTCGCTGGCTTAATTAGAGTTTTCCCATTTTTCTTGTTGAGCAGCAGCAGTTACCGAGTTACAAGGTCAGCGTACTGTTGTACGAAATTACAATGTAAGTACAATGTAAATGGACATAGTTGTCCATTTTTAGAGCTGTTTGAAAGTTCCTGTGCGTTTTTGG